AATATAATTTAGGTTTTTAGATAATTTTTTTTTTATATATTTCACCTACTTATGTAGAATAATATTTTGTGGAGTTAGGGATATTAATACTAGTTTACTTTTAGTTGAATAGTATCCTGGGATTAGGTTTGGGAAGTCCGGGGGTGGGGGGTGGGGGGTAGGGTTTTTACACTGTGATGTATTTGTGATGTGCTTTTTTTTTTTTATGATGAAAATAATAAAAATTTATATTTGAAAAAAGGTAGTTCTCAACTTTTGACCACAGTAGGAACAAGCATTTCCATTGCTAATGATATGGTGATTAAGTGAGTTGTCCTCAAGTTTATGATTTTATCACCATAGTTGTTAAGCAAATCACTGTCGTCATTAAATGAATCATATAAATGAATGGTGGTTAAATGAATGATCATAACCCAAGGAGTACCTGTAATCTAAACCAAATATTTTTTGCGGTTGAATGACTTTCTTCCCTCCCTGCAGGATGCCCATTCTCAAGGGGAAGTGGTGGCCTGCCTGGAGAAAGGGCTGGTAAAATTGGCAGAGGACAGTGAGCATCGCATCAAAGTCTCAGAGCCCTGCATGAAGGCAATTCTCCGAGTGGCGGAGCTGTCCTCAGATGACTTCCATCTGGATCGGCATCTCTATTTTGCCTGCCGAGACGATCGGGAACACTTTTGTGAAACGGTAAGTTTCTGCTCAGCTTTCTCCTCCTCTTTAGCCAAAATGTCCCTCTTCAGCAAATCTGGCGGGCTGTGATGACTCCCAAACCCTCCCCCTCCCCCCACGCTTCCCCAGATACCTCTTCAGATACCAGCTCAGGGGAGGATGAACCAGTTCCTGGCATGTCAGGAGGGGAGTTGGTCAGTGGCTCCAAGCGGCTGTCTGAGAGGGATTTGGCTGAAGCCCAGCTGCAGCAGGACAGCTCTGAGGCTTCCAGGTGGAGAAAGCATGCAGGTGGCCAGTGATGAGGAAGAGGAACTAAAATACTACAAAATAACAAACTTGGTTCAATGTGATTTCATGTAACTGAGGATGCTACCTTGTAACTAACAGCAGACTTGTCAACTAGAAAGTACAGGATTGTGATTAAAAAGCAGCTGGGGAAGTGCAGTGAATAAAAATACATTAGTAAAATGGAGTGTAGGTGAAGCTATAAGCTCCACTGGACTTGGCTTTGACAATCATTGTGTTTCCGTCTGTCTTTGTGAGTTTGTTGGAACAGTATATGGTGAAAAACCATACGTACCAGATCTTTGAAGGTGACTATAATATAAATAATAATAATAATAATAATAATAATAATAATAATAATAATAATAATAATAATAATAATAATAATAATAATAATAATTATTTAATTTGTACCCCGCCCTTCTCCTCACCGGACTCAGGGCGGCTAACATATAACCTGGCCAAAATGGCCTACTAAATGAATTGTTGTTTTATTTCACAGACTCAAGCAGGCGAAGGCCGGATATACAAGTGTCTATTTAACCACAAGTTTGAAGATGCTATGAGTGAAAAGGTAAGTGTCCTCCAAGAGACAGTGCTGAATTTTAATTATGTTTTAATTATGTTATAAATCAACACAAATCAAAGATGAGTGGTAAATTTACCTGAATTCTTCCTCGCCCTCTTCAGTGTCGGGATGCATTGACAACTCGGCAGAAGTTGATTGCCCAGGATTACAAAGTCAGCTACTCCTTGGCCAAATCCTGCAAGAGTGATCTGAAGAAGTACCGTTGCAATGTTGAGAATCTTCCTCGTACTCGGGAAGCCCGTCTCTCTTACCTGCTCATGTGTCTCGAATCGGCTGTGCACAGAGGTAGGGTCCCCCCTCTTTGCTGTTCTGTCAAACAGTAGTTTGTGAACAGGACAGAACAGAACAGAAATCTGTGGCTGCAGCACTTGTCAATGGGATGCATGCAAAATCCTTAGATATAGCACAGGGGAAAAACACACACATTAAATAATAATAATATATATATATATATTTAAAACAAGTGTAGCACCTGAAATGTAAAGAAAACTTCAGTATTTTTTTGCATGAAAATCATGTCAGTCTTTGGAATCTCTGAAGGAGAAGAAGCCACAGAAAACTGACCCCCCCTCCCTCCAAACCCTGGAGTGGTTATCTGACTGTTCTCTAGAAAGTGCATTTAGTTTGGAAATATTCTTGTAAGCAGGTGAGTAAAAAAACCCACCATATTATTCTGATCCACTGTCAGTGTCGTTCTGGTTCCTTGCTCCTGACGGGTCAGCCGTTGACATTGATCAACAAAACATTTTTTATCAGCCTTTGTAGGAAGGTTGAGCTCTAGGCTATTAGAGTATTAAAGCCAATTTTATATTTTGAATTGAATTTGGAACCAACCTGATTACCCCTGAATTAGTATGTATAGTGGTGACACCAAAGTTGGCAATCCTTTTTTAGAACAGCATTTTCAAACTTGGCAACATCTAGATGTGTGGACTTCAACTCCCAGAATTGTGGGACTTATAGTCCACACAAAGCTTAACACCCTGCTTTAGCTCCATCCGTGATCCTGCAGAACTGTGACCTTCAAAATAATCAGAGCTTAATCTAAAGACTATTAATAGATCAAGAGAAACCGACTAAACAGGTAGCTTTATTGAACACTTTGAGCCAATATCCACTGTCTTTGTTGGGAAGTGCATGCAGAGTCATCCATCAGAAGACGATTGTGAGTTTCAGGGCATGTTTGAGCAGCTCCATATCTTCAAAAAAAAAAGACCTAATTTGTTTGCCCTCTTGGAGCTTCTCTTCATAGGAGAAAATAGTGGCAATAAATCACGTCACAGTTAAAAGAGAGCTCTGTGGTTCTTGGAACACGGATTGATGATGTTCACGAGGCTGGAAAGGGCTACAAAGCAATTTCCAGAGATGTTGGATTCCGGTCAGGCAGATGGTGTACGAATGGAGCAGCACCTTGTTACTCTTCTGAGAACTGACCATCCAAAGATCAAGGGGCCCAAAGAACCCCGAGGTAACGATAAAGGATCTGCTGGCCCTTGTGTTACCTGATCTCAGTCTTCATGAGGATACCATCAGGACAGCACCGAAGAAGAACAGTCTGTATAGGAAGATGTTAAGAAGAAAATCATTACTTTTCAGAAAGCGCATTACTGTCTGTCTCAGGTTTGCCAAAGACCCTCTGAATGACCCACAGGCTGTTGGAACAATGTTTTGTCAGTAGCTGAGACTGACAAAGCGGGACTTTGGAGCGTTAATGAGAAACACTGTGTATGGGGACAATGAAACATTGCATTTCAATAAAAGAGCCTCATTCAACTGCGAAGCATGATAGCGGGAGTATCATGGCTTGGGGCTGCTGTGCAGCTCTCAATGGCTGAGTGAGCAATGGATTCTGGATAATACCAGCAAATTCTACAGGAGAACGTCAGGGTGTATTTCTGTGAGATGAAGCTTAAACAGACGTAAGTGATGCAGCGTGACCACAATTCTGAGCGCACAAATGAATTCATGATAGTCTGCTGGGCCAAAAGAAAATTTTGCATTTTGGAATGGCAAATTAAAGCCCTTGACTTTTAACCCACCTGAGATGTCGTAGTGTCATCTGACATGAGCAGCCATGGAAGACGAGCTCCAGATATTACCGAGTCAAAGAATTTCTGTAAAGAGGAATTGGCCAAAGTGCGTCTATGCTAAAATGCAGGATTGAGTAACTGCCAGTTGCAGGAAGTCTGTCCAGTGAGTAGATCTAAAATTCCATGCTCTTTTCCCAACAAAGACAGTCGGCTTAGTGCGTTCAGTAAAAGAGGTAGCAGACTCCAAACAAAATGTGTTCAGATTTTGAGCAATTTAAAGCAATACTCTGTTAGGAAAAGGCTTAAACCTGAAAACACTAAAACTGCCGATAGCTGGGTTGGTGCCTTCCTCAGCTCCATCCCTTCCGCTCAGCGGAGTCCTCCTTTTTTATCAGCTTTCTGATGCTGAAATAAATGTAAAATGTCCAAGTGGAAAATCCTTCATTATTGCAACAAGTTGCACACGAGTTGTAGCCGGAGCAGTTCTTCCAACGTGCCAGTCCGACACTCCCAAGGCAGGCGAGGAGGGCTTGTGTATCGCTGGGACTCTATTCCTGAATCTTACCTGAATCTCCTCTGATTTGCCACAGGTCGGCAGGTAAGCAGCGAGTGCCAGGGAGAAATGCTGGACTACAGGCGGATGCTGATGGAGGACTTCTCCCTGAGCCCAGAAATCATCCTGGGTTGCCGCACGGAGATCGAGCACCATTGCTCGGGGCTGCATCGAAAGGGCCGCACCCTGCACTGCCTGATGAAAGTGGTTCGGGGAGAGAAGGGCAACCTGGGAGACAGCTGCCAGCACTCAGTAAGCCTTGTTTGGCCAGGGGGGGGAGGGGAGGGGCAGTCTTCACCTACCGTTTCCTCACCTGCGCGTGCCCATTTGGTGCTTGCTGAATGTCACCATCTTGGGTATGTCATGTCTGGGCTCTGCGCACAAAGCAGTGGGCTCTTTGGCAGGAACCCTGCCCCTTAAAGCAGCCGTCTCTCTAAGCTTTCCGACTTTGCAGACCGGGGGGGGGGGAGAGGGGATGGTTCTGCACAAGCAGTGGGCGAGCGCACGTGTGGCAGTCCGTTTGCACAAGTGGCAGACATGCCTTAAAGGACCCAAGTCCGTTGAATTCCCCTAATTCCTTTCCAGCTGCCACGGTGACAACACAGGGAACAGCTTTCACTGAAGCCGAGCTGGCATTTTAACCTCAAGTGTGTTAAAATAAGAAGTAACATCAAACCTCAACTTTTTACTTTTACATAATAGTATAAACTAGCCATTTCTATAACAACAGATCTATCTAATCGGTAAAATCCAAAAACAAAGTTTCATGTTTTTTCCACCTCAAGCACAAAGTCCAGAAACGGTTTCCAAGTAGAAACAAAAGTATGTGTGTGTTTTTTTCTTTTATCCAAGCAGTCCATTTAGTCATCTCCGCTAACTCCATCAGCTTTTGCAACCATTTATCCATTATGGGGAAAGTTCAGCCATTTGCTCTTTGATTGGGTTAGGCTTGAAAGACCCTTTGCCCCAAACCACCTCTCTTTGGTGGGCTGTTAGCCACATTGTAGTTGCAAGGAGTGGGTGACATCCGTGCTTCAAAAACAAGAGCCGAGCCCTGAATTTAACTGGATAGCTGCTTGTCCTGACAAGGACTCTGAGTATTAAGTTCTGTTTTTCTTCTTCCTTCAGCTTCAGACTCTGATCCAGGAGGTGGACCCTGTGGCTGATTATCGCATCGATCGAGCTTTGAATGAAGCCTGCGAGTCAGTGATACAAACGGCCTGCAAGCACATCCGTTCCGGAGATCCCATGTAGGTGATCAAGCCCTGCCTTTTTCGCCTGCAGTTGTTACGTGTTTCTTTGGGATAGAAGGAAGATTCAAGGTGTCTCCTGAAGAGGGGGGATTTGGACTAAGTAAGAATAGAAGAGTTTGGTGTTGTGATGATACGTTAAGAGCCATGCATCTTCCTAGCCATTTCTACATCCCTTAGTTGTCAGGGGGGAAAAATCTCCCGCTGATTCAGAGCAGCTATTGGTGAAATTTGAAAAAAGCCTCTGTCTTAACAAGCTGAGGGATAAATTGGGCTCTAAAGCTGCTGAGATTTATACAGTTTTATTCTACAGGTAGTCCTCGAGTTACAACCACAATGGAACCCAAAATTTATGTTGCTAAGTGAAACATTTGTTCAGTGAGTTTGCCCCATTTTAGGATCTTTCTCGCCCTGGTTGTTAAGGGAATCATTGCGTTTGTTAAGTTAGTAACATGGTTGTTAAATGAATCCGGATTCCCCGTTGACTTTGCTTGTCAGAAGGTTGCAAAAGCTGGTCACACAACCCCAGGACACTGCAATATAAATGTGCACCAGTCGCCAAGCATTTGAATTTTGATCATGTGACCATAGGGGTGCTGCAAGGGTCGTAAGTGTGAAAAACAGTCATAAGTCACTTTTTTCAATGCCGTTGTAACTTTGAGTGGTCACCAAATGAACTGTTGTAAATCGAGGACCACCTGTATTCCCTTTCTGCCTTTCTTGCTAAAAGAAACGCTGGGAAATCCTAGCTTTTAGGTGCAGTCTGTTGCCAAGAGTAGATAGATCCAGGGATTCTGACTGACTAATGCTGCTGCAAGTTGGTCTTACAGATAAGCAACATGGGGAAAGGGTGGACCGGAGATAGGCCTCTTCTCTACCCGGAGAAGGCTGTGTGGTCGCAACAGGCAGCACTTTGTGGGCAGTTTGGTTTGCCTGCTTGCCTGCCTTCCTGTGAGAGGCTGGCTGTTGTAGCACGAGAGCTTCAGAGATCCTGTACTTGCAGTCTTAACCCTCCCTGCTTCTCCTGCAGGATTCTTTCTTGCCTCATGGAGCACCTGTACACAGAGAAGATGGTGGAGGACTGTGAACACCGGCTCTTAGAGCTTCAGTACTTTATTTCACGGGATTGGAAGTGAGTGCAGGGTTGGGGCTTCGAGAGGCCTTGCCTGCCATAATGGAACCTCCTCCCTGGTCCATTGCCGCGATGGGGTCACCCAGTAGCTCTTTTTGCTCCCCTAGGTTGGACTCTGTCCTCTACCGTAAGTGCCAAGGAGATGCATCTCGACTGTGTCACACACACGGTTGGAATGAAACAAGTGACACGATTCCTCCTGGAGCAATCTTCTCCTGCCTGTACAGACATGCTTATCGCACAGAAGAGCAGGGAAGAAGGGTAGGCATTATCCCCTCATCATCTTAACACGTCTTAGTGCTTCTCAGAGAATAAATAGGGTTTGGGAGCATGCCGTGGGTTTAGTTCCTGAAGTAGTCTTTGAATATTCCTGAGGGAACAGAGAAGCTGAGCAGAAGGTCTGAGAACGCCTAGGAAGACAACGCAGTGTTTTTCTGGACAAGTTGCTTGGACCTTTACACTCCAGCCTTCTTGGCTGTGAACCTCCATGTACATATTAGGATGTTCACGTATGGAGTCTCATGTAAAAACCTTGCATCTGTATTCTCCAGTAGTTGGATCTTCTGCTGGTATATGACTTTTGTTTTCTGTAATTAGATAATTTATCTAGCCATGTAATACTTGTGAGAACTCTGGTGTAAGCAATCTCCCAATGTAGGGTAGAAAATCTGGAGTGGTGAGTACTTTGAAACAAACACAAATTGGAGATTGGATGTATTTTTAGTTGCCTACAACAAGAATTGTAACTTGACTTGATTGGTTCAGTTGCTGCCTCCTTGTAATTTATTGAAGTACTTTCTGATTAAATACTTCTTAGCCATTCAAATATCAGTGAAAGTAAGAATTAGAAGGGAACTGCAAAGAAAGTAAGACCCAAAGGAGACAATGTTTTAGCCTGACACTGGGTTTGGCCAGGAACAGCAGGAGAATTGGTGTCTGCATCTGGAAGGAAAAAAAACAATGTTTTTGAGTGGGTGGGTTTGTTCATCCCAAATGTCCATATTTGTCTTTGGTAGCTATCCCGAGAATGCAGAGCGGAAGTACAGCGAATTCTGCATCAGCGTGCGTTGGATGTGAAACTAGATCCAGCCCTCCAGGACAAGTGCATGATAGATTTGGGGAAGTGGTGCAGTGAGAAAACCGAAACTGGACAGGTAACTCTGGCATTCATTCTTTTCAGAATTAGACTACACTAGACTAGACTGGAATTGTTATATTTGGGGGCTAGAACTGCTCATATTTCAAACCTGAAGAAAAGTATGTTGACACATTATTTAAAAGTCAAGATATTTTCAATACCTACAATAGCTTTCTCATGTGACCTTCTCTTGCCTTTCTTCCAAGGAGTTTGATGAAGGGGAGATTGGTTTTGGCACTTGCTCTTACAGGTTGACAGTTAAAAGGCAATTTGTATACTTGAGGGAAGATTGGCTGCCCAAAAGCTGTTTATCCCAACAATGCCAATTGCTTATTCAGCTGGAGAAATAGGAAACGTAAAGGATTCAGAACCAGAAATATTGTAATCTAGTTGGAAAATACGTGCATATTAAAATTAAGAAGCCAAGCACATTCCATAGGTTATGCAAGAATTGGAAGTCATTTTGGTTTTAGCATTGTGCATTAATAGAATAACTGAGTTGGGAGGGACCTTGGAGGTCTTCTAGTCCAACCCCCTGCACAGGCAGGAGACAAATGGCTGTGTCCAGTCTCTTCTTAAATCTCCAGTGTTGGGGCACCCACAGTTTCTGGAGGCAAGCCATTCCACTGATCAATTGTTCTAGTTATCAGGAAATTTCTCCTGAGTTCTAGGTTGGTTCCCTCCTTGATTAGTTTCCATCCGTGGCTTCTTGTCTTGACTTGAGATGCTTTAGAGGATAGGTTGACACCCCCCCCCCCTCTTCTTTGTGGCAGCTGCTCAGATATTGGAAGACTGCTATCATATCACCACTATTCCTTTTCATTCGATTAGACATACTCAATCCCTGCCGTTGTTCTTCATATGTTTTAGCCTCCAGCCTCCTAATCATCTTTGTTGCTCCTCTCTGCACTCTTTCTAGAGTCTCAACATCTTTTTTATATCATGGCGACCAGAACTGGATTCAGTATTCCAAGTGTGGTTATACCAAGGCACTAGAAAGCACTTCATTTGTCCTTGAGTCTGTCCCTCTGTTAATGCAGCCTAGAACTGTGTTGGCTGTTCTGGTGGCTTCACCATACTGCTGGCTCATATTTAAGTGATTGTCCATTAGGACTCCAAGATCCCTCTCACAATTACTGCTATTAAGCCAGGTACCATCTGTTCTGTACCTGTGCATTTGGTTTTCCTTGCCTAAGTGTAAAATCTTACTTGTGTCTTAAGCCAAATATTTTTAGCTAAAGGAATGACCACTTGAGAAACCAATGGTATTTTAGAAGGCTGTGAACCTTTCTTACTTCAATCCAACCAGGAGCAAGAATTGTGACTTATTTTATTGTGCATTTGGGGGATTCTCAAAAGAATAATCAAATTGGCCTAAGATATTATGTGTGTGTGTGTTTTTTTCCCCCTTATGTGCAGGAACTTGAATGTCTACAAGACCATCTGGATGATCTGGTAACTGACTGCAGAGAGGTGGTCGGAAACCTTACAGAGCTGGAATCTGAGGTGAGGTGGCTTTCTTCAAAAGGAGAAGCTCCACTCTTCTGTGGCGCTTTTACCCTGAGTCGTGGTCAGTGGACTGCAAGCTGTGCTTTATCTTCCAGTGTCCAGAATGGGTGGGCATTGCGAAATAACCAAAGGCTGCTGTCCCTGGAAATTGTGGCAGATAGGCAGACAAATCTATTAACCAATAAGCAAAGGGTGGATTTTGCCTTTGATTCTTTCCAATCCAAAATAAGAAATTATGTGAAGAGACTTGGTCCAGAATCTGTCCATCTGTGCCATACCTCTAAAAAGAACCCCCAGAAAGGAATGGGAACCAAACTTGGCATGGTGGAAGAAGTCGGGGGGAAAAGTAAATTTGAATCCCAAAGTGGAATGAATCTAGTTTCTGGCTGTGGAGAAAAAAATAGAATTCCAGAAGTCCTGCTCTGCCCGTTTTTCCTACCTTGTTTATTATAATTGTTGTATCTGTACATTAAACAGATGTTTGTTGAGTGATTCCTTCTTGCTGAGAAGGCCGCTGCAGAAACATAGCAAAAATATCAAGTAGCCAGTTTCCAGGGAGTTTTCGTCAATTGAGTCAGCAGAGAGACTTAACAGCAGCTTGGCAGCAGAATTAAGTGGAGGAGTCTCCATTTTTCTTTCTCAAGCTTGACATACATACTTGGGCCTAATCTGAGCGTGTGAGAAGAAACAAGAAGAAATAAAAGCCTTTTTATTGGTGGTGCCTTAAACAACTTAAGTGACAATGAAAGGACCGGACAGACTGTGACGTGCAAGGCTTGTGATCTGTATGAGCTGACCTGGAAAAAGGGGCATTTATTTGCAGCCAGTGGAAATGTAATATTTGCACATGCTGCAATGCTTGCTGAGATGCTTAAGGAAAAGTTGTGGGATTGGCACAAATGTCCAGATATCCCCTCATAAGATAGAATGAAGAATTGTTAGATTAAACAAAGGGGGATGCTATAAGAGGGCCTGATGGAGAAAGCAGTTTTCTGTAAAAAAGAGAATCAAAAGGTAAACCTCGTGGATGAGGGGAACATCCCTTCCTTACCTAGTTGTGCAGGAAAACAAGGAGATGTTATGGGAATGGGAAATAAGATGGCTTTAAATTCTTAGGAGGACAAATGAACTATAGGATAGCACTGCTGTCGTCTCTGGCACCCCCTGCGGTATTTATGGGCTGGTAACTGTTTAATTGTCATTTTAATTGTCAGTATTGGAACCAGAGTATTAACTATCTAAGAGCATCGTTTGTGTTAAAAATTGGGCATGACCTAGAGTGAACTGACTGATTTCTGGATTCCTCTGACAGGATATCCAGATAGAAGCCTTGCTGATGCGAGCATGTGAACCCATCATCCAGACCTTCTGCCATGTAAGTGATTCTTTTCCCTCATCGTTTTGGACACATTGACAATTAACGCAAAGTCCTTTCCCATCAAGATATCCTCCTGATGCCCTTCCTGTTAAGTGTTCCTTCTTGGAAGCTGGAGACAATAGCCTTGCAGTTCTGCTTTAGAACTCTGCATAATGGAGCGAAGCGAAACCAGCATTTTGGAATAGAAGAAATATGCCAGAAAGGATTTCAAATTTTACTTTGCATAGAATTTCTGGCTTGTGGAGGAACAGAATTTTAATTTTTGTGCCCCTGTCCCTGTGGGGTTTGAATAGCATTTAATGAGAGAATTTGGCTTTGTGGGGGACATAAAATATTTAATCTTGCTTGTGCTATAGCTTTTCCCACTTTGCCCTGCTCAGAATGTGCACTGGGTTGCAACTTTAAATTCCCTTGGCAGCAGGTGGTTGAGAGTGCCAAGTGGAAATGGAATTAGTGGTTGCTGTGCTGAGTTGAGGAAATAGGACTGGGGGCCACTGGATAGTCCTGGAGCCAAGACTGGCTGTTTCTCCCTCACCTTCTCAGGTGATAGTTGAGTTCAAGCAGACCCCTTGAGACTCTTCCAAGTTATGATTTATGTCTTCCTTAATTTGACAGTGGAAGCTGCCAAGAAGGGAACAAGGTTCTGCCAGACAGTCATTACATGCCTCTAATTGTTCCATCTCCCCTTCAGGAAATGGCAGACAACCAAATTGACTCCGGAGACCTCATGGAGTGTCTCGTTCAGAATAAGCATCAGAAGGAGATGAATGAGAAGTGTGCAGTTGGAGTTACGCATTTCCAGCTAGTGAGTACAGCCGTTTTATTCATTTATTCATTTATTCCCAGCCATTTATATGTCGCCCATTCTAACAACTCCAGGAGACTAAAAGTCTAAAAGCATCCGTAGAATACTAATAAAAAATAATACGCTATAACTACTGCCAACCCTTGGAAGACCTTCCTGCCCAATTGCTGTCTTAAAAGACGACAGTCTTCTCCATTTTTTAAGCAAACTAGGAGTACATTGGACTGGAGAGCCAGCTGTTCTAGAGAGAGGGAGCTGCCCCTGTGAAGGCCATTCCTGGGTCCCATCTCCCCAATCTCTTTCAGAACGGGTTACCTGGAGCATCCTGTCCCTGTTAGACTCTGTAGGACAGGCAGATTTTCTCTGAAGAAGGAGTTCTAACAAAGGCTAAGCCAAAAAGATAGTTTAATGAAAAGAAGGACTAGGAATGGCCTGATAGCACTGTTCCAATATCTGAGGGGTTGCCCCAAAGAAGAAGGGGTCAAGCTGTTCTCCAAACCACCTGAGGGCAAAGACAAGAAGCAATGGATGGAAACTAATCAAGGAGAGAAGCAACCTGGAACTAAGGAGAAACTTCCTGACAGTTAGAACAATTAACCAGTGGAACAACCTGCCTCCAGAAGCGGTGAAGGCTCCAACACTGGAAGTTTTTAAGAAGAGACTGGACAGTCATTTGTCTGAAATGGTATAGGGTTTCCTGCTTGAGCAGGGGGTTGGACTAGAAGACCTCCAAGGTCCCTTTCAACTCTGTTATTCTATGACATTCTATAACATTTTGAGCTTTGCCAGGGTTAGGAATTAGACAGGTCCCTTCTTCCAATTGACAGGATCACCCCAGTTAATAGAAAGTGGGTCTCTTTCTTCAAGACTTCCTGGCTTCCTTGCTGTGATTTCTCTCTCCATACCAGTTCCAGCGTCTCCTTCCAGATGGTCATTCCATATTTCCATGGCTGTTAAATGGAGGCTGGCCAACTAGATCCCTTTTCACGGTCTGCATAGGACTTGCAGTTCTACTTCACTCCACCAGAACTTTGCTAGACTGGAGGGAGACATTCAGGGGAGTTGAGGACTGATACTCTCTGCTCTCTTTCCTTTGCTCAGATACAAATGAAGGATTTCAGGTTCTCCTACAAATTCAAAATGGCCTGCAAGGAAGATGTACTGAAGTTGTGTCCCAACATCAAGAAAAAGTACGTCTGTGGGCTTCCTCCATAGCTTGGGGCAACCTAGTTGGTCTGTCATCTGGTCTGTGGGAGACATCGTGCCTCTTTCTCCTTCAGGGTGGACGTGGTGATCTGCCTGAGTACCACAGTGCGCAACGATACCCTGCAGGATGCCAAGGAGCACCGGGTCTCTGTGAAATGCCGCAAGCAGCTACGGGTGGAGGAGTTGGAGATGGTAAACGGGCCTGGCTGCTGTCTGTCTGGCACCGGCTTCTCGGGGAATGTGCTGGGACGCCGGTTAAAAACACAGGCTGCCACTCATTGCTCATGTGTTCCCCACTAATTATCCTCTGCAGCCATTGGTATTCCATGCTGGCATTTTGCCACAAGAAGGCGGTCTCCTTGCGTTAGAGGTCTGTGTCCAGGATGCCAGTGTGTTGCCCAGTCTCAAAATTTTCCTTGCCAGGCTTGGGCGCATCCCAGACTCTTCCTGGAAGACAACTGAGGAGAGCTCAGTCCTAAATCACCCTTTTACGCTGCGTCTTAAGGCTCAGCCTGGGGGCAGACCTTGTGCTTTGAATGCCTGTCCTCCTTCCTTCCACCCTCCTGCAGGACTGGGAATCGGCTGAAGGGTTTCGTGGGATCTTGAAGAGTGCAGAGGGTTTTGTGACTTCGGTTTGGTCTAAATGAAAAAAAAAAAAGCTGCCAGTTTGTTGGGCTTCAGTGGCTGCTCCTGTCTCACATTCCTCTTGGATCTGAATTTCTCTTGCAGACTGAAGATATCCGCCTGGAACCAGATCTTCACGAAGCGTGCAAAACTGACATTAAGAGCTACTGCCAGAATGTTCCCTACGGCAATGCCCAGGTGACAGGCTTATATAGATGCATTCACAGGGGTTTGTGTTCACATTTTCTCCAAGGTGTTAACGTTCCTGGTCTCCACTTCTCATGTATTTTATTGCCACAACCTAAGCAGTGATGCCTGAGCAGGATTTGAGCTTGCCTTTGCCAGTCCTTGTGAGACTTGCTAATTGAGAGTATGAAATGTACGGTATGTGTGTATTTATCTATTAAATTTATATGCCGCCTGTCTCACCGATAAGGCAGCTTTTAAGCAGTAAAATGATAAACGTTTAATAAGCAAGGCTAGTACAGAGTCTCCAATCTTCGCGCCATCCTTTTAAGTTTTAGATGTGATTTACAAAACTTCCATCAATTGCTATCAGATTGTACCTGAGATAGACTAGCATATTTTTAAAATGGCCAAAGAGTGTAGTCTTTCACCCAATCCCGGTTCTGTTTCATCAGTGGTGCCCTCCTGTAGTTTGTGCTCCTCAATGGTTTCTCAGTCGCCTCCTCTCCCTGCAGATCATTGAGTGTTTGAAAGAAAACAAGAAACAGCTAAGCAGCCGCTGCCATCAAAAGGTCTTCAAACTCCAAGAGACGGAGATGATGGATCCAGAGCTGGATTACACCCTCATGCGGGTCTGCAAACAGATGATCAAGGTAAAGATGACCAGTTCTTGCCCCAGGAACATCTTGGACTGGGCATTTGAGGGAAAGGTAGACAACTTGACATACCACTGAACACGCATTCCAGTCTGATTTCAATCAGAATAGAGCTGGAAGAGACCTTGGAGGTCTTCTAGTCCAACCCCCTACTCAAGCAGGAGACCCTATACCAGTGTTTCTCAACCTTGACAATTTTAAGACATGTGGACTTCAACTCCCAGAATTCCACAGCCAGCATTGCTGGCTGTAGAATTCTGGGAGTTGAAGTCCACATGCCTTAAAATTGTCAAGGTTGAGAAACACTGCCCTATACCATCTCAGACAAGTGACTGTCCATGTAGGGCATGTAGTGGCAGGAGTCAGCACTGAATTGAAGGCACACAAACACAAAGGAAAGGCATGGGGCTCCTGAACCAGTCTTCCAAAACGCACGCCTACATTTCTGTTCCTGGTAGAAATCTCAAAATAGGGAGCCCTGAGACCCCATTTAGGGTTTGTAGTGTTCGGTGGGATCACTCAGGCAGTGGGGCGTCTCTTCCTAAGAAGCTCATTCTCTCTTAGAGAGCTTTGCTTCAATAGGGATGGTTCTCAGACCATGCACCACATAATTGGGGGGAACCCAAACGGGGCAGGCATTTCAGGGCAGCCCAGAGCTCCCTGTGCTGGGCCTGGGCCTGGGAGGAAGGATGGATCTCAGAGCTGGTCCGGGCAGGAGGTTCTCCACCCTGCCTGGCTTTGCCTTCCTGCACCGCTTCCTACTTGGAGGTGATGTCCAAGCATGGGAGATGTTTCTGTGTCTCCTTGCTGAGTCGTTGCTTCTTTGTCTTTCTTGGCAGAGGTTCTGCCCAGAAGCAGATGCCAAGAACATGCTGCAGTGCTTGAAACAGAACAAAAACAGCGAGGTGATGGATCCCAAATGCAAGCAGATGATCACAAAGCGCCAGATCACCCAGAACACAGGTAACGGTCTGTGGCTGCGTGTAACCAGGATGGAAGGGTCTCTGCCTTCCTTTGTGGTGAAATTTTGTTGGCCACGCAGGACAAGTTGCCTTTGGGGCTTCAGAGTGAATTGAAACCCCACAAAAATGATCCACACTTTTCTTGGATCACCTTCCTTATACAGGCTCCTCTGCTTTCTTGTTCTGGAGTTGTATTATTTGTGCTTGTTGTTTGCTTTTATTACGCAGCACTGAGACTCTGATTTCCGGCCGCCTCTCTGCATTTGAAACCACCCCACCTCGACAGCTTTTCTGGGCAGAGTGTCATGCTTGCTTTTCTGTAGTGTGTGCATTTTATGTCTGCTCAAATCTGCCCTAGGCAGGTGCCTTCCAAGTGAAGCACTCGGTTGCAAGTTACTAAATATATCTGAACCACGGAGGAAAACGTTCTAGTTCAGAGAAGAAGAATTTGCCTGGCTTATGGAAAGTTCCAAATTTGGATTTGGGCTGGTTGAAAGAATCCCAGCTAGCGTGGTTGGGAGGGACTTTGGCTTCATAGACAAAGAGATGAATTTGATAAAAACTGAACGTGCAACCACAAAAGAAGGAGAGGGAAAAGGAGGGAGAGGGAGAGAGAACTCTGCATTAAGTAGCCAAAGCAACTTGCATCACCAATTGGGATTGGCTGGAATTGTGGGAGATGTTTGTTCTTTGCTTAAAATAAACCCTTTATTTCATTTTTGTGCCGGATGGGAAATCTTCCACTTTCCATTAAAAAACCCACAATGGAAAAAGCTATTGAACTTGGAAAAGACTTGGGTTATAGGCTATCTTGCTCAACATAGAATCGTGGTAATTTTGAATTCTCATTTAACCAGACAAAGAGTGTCTGGTTTAACCATTACCTCTGCCTTTTGAGATTCCAGCAAGCATTGTCTGCAGTCCAGTGCAGCTATCTTTTAGAGTGGTCATTATCTGTGCACATTTGCACAACTTAAAAATGAAGTTGCTAAGTGTCTAGGAACTGTATTCCAGACCTTCCTTGGAGGTGAGCCTTTGCAATTTGCTCCCTTAGAGGGCATTCAGATGACTTCTGAGCTTCAGCTCTGCAGAGATGCCTCCCCTGTGAATCTTAAAGCCTGATTTAACCCTTTTCTCCCTGGCAGATTACCGCCTAAATCCAGTGCTCAGGAAGGCCTGCAAAGCAGACATTCCCAAATTCTGCCAGAGCATTCTGAGTAAAGCCAAGGAGGAGTCAGAGCTGGAAGGGCAGGTCATATCCTGCCTGAAACTGAAATATGCAGACCAGGTAATGATGTCCCACCTGTTGGCCAGAACACAGGCAGGACAGTCCACTAGACTAGAGCTCCTTTCCCACTTCTATAGAAATTGAGAAAGGAAGAGCAGGCTGCCTCAACCCAAAGAGGGATCCCATTACAAGCTTATGAACTAAACAGACTCTTCGGCTGTCGCACAAACATGCCAGGAAAAGGAGATCAAGGAGGAGACCTGCTTTAATGCGCTCACTAAGCCGGCGGGTTCCGATCATCTAATTCCTGGCATTAAAACGTCTTAAAAGTCTGTGTCAATTTTACATCCTTGATAGGGTTTTGCAGGCAGTTGTGGCTTTACAGAAACAAGAAAAACAAAGCAGATGTGAAAAGGCAGGTCTAGCTATCCCATCAACTGCCATCAAGATAGTTTGCTTTTCAACAAAATACGTATTGTGTTTTGTTTTACAACTGTTTTACAATGTAGCTTGAAACAGCTTGTAGAGGATTTTCATTCTGTAAGGCTAGATACCAACAAATGACCAGCTTTTATCTCCGTTCAGCTGCACGGCAAGTCAGGTGCCGAGAATGATGTCAGGCTTGGTTCTTCTTTGCTGTGATGATTCTTGTCTTTGTTTCTGAACAGCGTCTTTCTTCAGACTGCGAAGATCAGATTCGAGTGATCATTGAGGAATCTGCTCTGGATTACCGGTTAGATCCCCAGTTGCAAATGCACTGCTCAGAAGAGGTGGGAGCTTCCAGATTCAGTCCTCCTTCCCCCCCAAATATGTTGACAAGTTCTTATAACTCTTAACCACACCATTTAAATAATAGGAGCCATGAACTGGGGTGTAAATCTCTGTGAATCCCTTTATCACGATTGCCATCATTCACAGGAAGAACATTTGTGAATGGAATGAAACATTGTGGAAAACCAGTTCAGTATCATATACCAGAACTGTCTTCTGCTATTGATCCATCTGGAACTCAGCTTGTTCATTAAATTCCTTTTATTTGTGTGTGTGGGGGGGGCTTTTTTCCTGATGCTAATGGAGTCTGGTTCCCCAATTTGTCTTTCTGCAGCTTAAAATCTCTGTGAAAATAACTCTGCCCTGTGCACTTTGGAAAAAAGCAAAACCTAAAAGCTGGAATTCCTGCCATTTAATACCATTCTACTGCAGAGAAAAATGCAGCTGCCAGTCAGTATTTTGGGGTGGCATTGCTGCTGTCTGCTCAGTTTATACCTTCCGCTTCTCTGCTTTTGGTCAAAAACAAGCATTTGAGTTCTTGGGGTGAATCCCGGAGCAGCCCTCTCTGTAGCACAGCAGGTCTGCAGGAATTCCCAGGGGTGTTTCTCTGATACTTGTGAGAAAATCTGAACTTGCGAACACTCCGAGCCGTTGAATTGAAAGAGGCCGGTGCAGCAGTTGAATCTGACTTCCTGTTCAGTGCCAGAATCCAAAATACATAAATTTAAATTTAAGCCTGTAAAGCAGCTCAGATTTATAGCTGTCTGGAGCATGTGCAGTGACAGCAAAACTGTTAGGAAGAAGAACTTAACTTCCCATTCCGTGTCCTGTTTTCCTGGAGCAACGCAGAGCCTTTTTTGCCACATTTCTCAGTTTTTGAGAAGGGCTCTCCGCTAACCTCTCCCACCTTCGGTCTAAGCAGATTCCCTCAGCCTTTCTCCCTAAGCTGTTTTTCCAATCCCTTGCAGCTCCATGTTGCTTGGCTGTGTGAACCTGTTCCAGCTTCTCTGAATCTTACTAAAAATGTGGCACCCATAATTGGACACAGTGCTTGAGGTTGGACTGACGCAGAATATGTGGAAAGGATGACTTCCCACATTTGGAAACTCTGCTTGTATTGATGTAATCTAAAATCACATTTGCCTCTGTAATAGCCATAGCACACTGCCGAAGACTTTTTCAGCCCTGAGCACTTCCCACTCCATGATGGTTTTAAACCTATTATTATCAAGCTGGTATCGTCTTAAATGACTAGCTTCTAAATTTGATCTTCGGCCACATTCCTCAGCTAAAGCTCCTACCCTTAAATATATGGCTCTGAAAACACAAGAATAAACTATTTTGAGCACAAATCCACTTGTCATGGCCGATGGGTCAGCAGTGCTTCCCCTTTGTTTGCTGCCATACTTGGAAAACCTGTTTAGATGTTCTACGTTTCTGTTCTCTTTTATAAATATTTTGCTAGGTTGTCCTGTGATGGCTACATTCTAACGTGCTTTATCCTTACAGATTTTTGCCCTGTGTGCAGAGGAGGCTGCAGCCCAGGAACAGACAGGGCAAGTGGAAGAGTGCCTGAAAGTGAATTTGCTCAAAATTAAAGCAGAGATGTGCAAAAAGGTGAGTGGTCCTGCTGCAGCCTTAATGGACAGGCAGATAAAAGCACCGGCTCTCATCTTCAAAGGGAATGGATGCATCTCAGAGTCAGTAGCATTTGTCTGTCTTTGGGAGGCATCTGGAATCAGGATTCTGGTCTTTAAATGGCACCTTTCAATCAATCAGTCAATCAGAATGGAGCTGGAAGGGAACTTGGAGGTCTTCTAGTCCAACCCCCTGCTCAAGCAGGAGACCCTATGCCATTTCAAACAAGTGACTGTCCAGTCTTCTCTTAAAAGCCTCCAGTGATGAAGCACCCACAACTTCTGGAGGCAAACTGTTCCACTGGTTAATTGTCCTCACTGTTAGGAAGTTTCTCCTTAGTTCCAGGTTGCTTCTCTCCTCGATTAGTTTCCGTACGTTGCTTCTTGTCTTGCCTTCTGGTGCTTTGGAAAATAAGCTGACTCCCTCTTCTTTGTGGCAGCCTCTCAAATACTGGAACACTGCTATCATGTGCCCCCTAGTCCTTTAGGGGTTCCAACTGTTAATTTTATTTTGATTTGCATCTCTCCCTAACCTTTATTCTACCTGGAATGGCTCATTTACTCCCCTCTTCCCCCTTTAAGGCATTGTTGAGATTCAGCCACACTTGTCCACCCCAACAGTAGCCTTGCAAGGGTTTCATTTCACATTAATTTTAACTGCCAGCTAGTGGTACATCCAGAACTCACCTCCCTGGATGAGCACTGAACATACTTGTTCTGTGCTTCGCTTCCTCTTCACACTTACACCCCAAGCCCTTCCGTTTCCATTGGCTCAAGAAAAACTTGGGTTCCTATCTGATCGTGATCCTTGTGACTTTCTGCTCTGCAGGAGGTGCTGAACATGTTGAAGGAAAGTAAGGCTGACATTTTTGTGGATCCCGTCCTTCACACAGCCTGTGCGCTGGACATCAAGCACCACTGTGCTGCCATCACTCCAGGAAGAGGCCGACGTAAGTTTTGCATTAACTGATCAGTCTGTGGAGTGCTGAAGACCACAAGGCTCTTCCCCACCAGGCTGTTCCTGGCTGGCTCAGGAATTCTGGGAGTTGAAGTCCAGGAGTCATAAAAGAGCCAAGGTTGCCTACCCCTGCACTAAGGGGAGCCTCCTTCCTGGGGATTCTGTCCTATTCGTGGTTTGCAGTGTGGCAGGGGCTTCCCTGACCCCTTCAAGGGAGCCTGCCTGCCTTTTGTGATCGTGTTTCCTTCATTCTGCAGAGATGTCCTGCCTCATGGAGGCCCTGGAGGACAAGCGGGTCCGGTTACAGCCAGAGTGCAAAAAACGCCTTAATGACCGCATTGAGATGTGGAGCTTTGCTGCCAAGGTCAGTGGGGTGTCACTTGCCTCTTTCTTAAATGTGAACAGAAGAGTCATTTGCATGTCTGGAAGTGAAGGGGGGGGGGTAAAACAGATCCTGGGAAAGGTTTGGTGTCCTTGCAGGTAGGTTGAGACTCATCCCCATCCAAGTCGTCTTTGACTTACGATCACTGTTAAGATCAGAATTTCCATTACCAGGCAAGCAAGGCGATTGTCAAATGAGTTGTGTCTGATTTTGCAATCTTTTTTGCCACATTTGTTGAGCAAATCCCTGTGGTTCTTAAGTGAATCATGTGTTTGTTAAAGCGAATCTAGCTCCGCCCCATTGACTGCCTGTGGGAAGCTGGCTAGAAAGGTTGCAAATGATGATTACATGACCCTGGGATGTTGTAAATGCATGTTGGTTGAGAGTATCTAAAGAGAGAGAGAGAGAGACAGAGAGGGATAGATAATGAAGTTAGGGGTTGATCCAAAAGCAGCTGTAGGATGTTTTGTCCAGCTTCAACCGTGAAGAAAGTTCTATAAAAGCTTATGTGGAACTTTAGCTTGGATACATTTAAAGAAGTGCATCTGATTTAAAGGCATCAAAGATTAACAGGATTTTTGACCTTAAAAACGCAGTTCCTTTCCTTAAGACGTCTGGAAAGTTTTAAGAAAGGTGCACTAATCATTTCCCAGAGCAAACTGGGGATCCAAAATTTATTTGGGCACGTGCTAACTCTGGCTGGGGACTTCATGGTTGTTAAGATCCATCGTCGCCTTCTAGCCAGACTGATGCTTAAGAGGAGATCTCTACAGAATTTGCCCAGGTGAAACTAGCCTTTTACTGGCATAGCTTTGTTGGAAGAGGCTATTGTTTGACTCCTGCCTTGGCAACCCAATTTCACCTCTTGGCTGGGTTGGGTTGCCTTTCCCTGGGCTTGGCGGCTGACCGATCCTTTTCCTCCCGCCAGGTGGCCCCCGCAGAAGGCTTTTCGGACCTCGCCATGCAAGTGGTGACATCTCCATCCAAGAACTACATCCTGTCTGTGATCAGCGCGGGCATCTGCGTCCTGTTCCTGATTGGTCTGATGTGCGGGCGTATCACTAAGCGAGTGACACGAGAACTGAAGGACAGGTAGAGGCAACCTTGGTCGTCAGAGGGAAGGAGGAAGGCCTGCCCCATTTGTACAGTCTTCTCTGTATAGTCTCCCTCCCCACCTCGCTCTCCTTCAGACAATACAAGCCAATTAGAACAGCAGCAGCAGCAGCAGCGGCAGCTCGTGTGTGTCGGCTGGGTCTCCCATCTTGTCCAGCAGCTTTGTTACCCCATCGTTAGCCACGGTTGTTTGCCTGCCTGTAGACAAAGCTCTTTCTTTTTTTTTCTTCTTTTTTTTTTCTCTTTTTCCTCGTACTGTTGAACTACCTTCTTCACACACTCCAAACCAGACGGACAAAACTTGCAGCCCGGGAGAGGTTTTTAAAGTCAAACCTTTTAAAGATTCCGTTCTTGGCATAATTGGGGCAGTGTGTCTCGGTGAGGAAATATTTGCGCTCCGAGGTTAGGCGGGACTTGAAAGGATGGGACGTTACCCACCGCTGACAACCGACCCTGGTTTGGAAATCTAGTTGGCCAACGAACCAGCATCTTCAGCTCATAATCTGTCAGCAAAGTGGTCTCAGAGGATACCATCTCCACCAGTCTCCTCTGTCTGTCACAAGGTTCTGTTTGTGTGCATTTTTCCTTTCCTTTCCTTTCCTTTCCTTGCTGGTTTGTTCCTCAGTTTCTGCCAAAAGGCAAAGCCGTCCATTTTCTCCGTTGTCTTTGGGATTAATAAAATATCGACCACAAGAAACAAAGTCCAGTGGTTTTATAGGTTCCCCTCGCAAAGCTACGCCTGTCAGATGAGGCAGGTGGAGGTGCGAAGCTGCATAGCAAGTAGACACCTCGGAAAGTTACCCCGAAGGTTTGGGCCCCCGAAAGAGGAGGGCCATTGCTGGGGTGAGGATTAGCAGGTGACCCTCTTCCCCCATAGGCAGGTCCGGCATTGATCGCAAGGGGAGAGGCCTCCACGCTCTCAAGAATCAAGCTGAAGAGATTGTCAGGCTTGAGAAGCAGGAAACTCTGTCCCTGAGCAAGAATGGGGTGGTGGGGACTCTTTTCTCTCTCATTTGACAGGAAGTGCTACTTTTTCTGAAGCAGCACTATGAATAGCCCTCCTGGTCTGAACCTGGATGCTACTCTTGACCCGATTGGGGAGTAAAAGAAGCTGCACAAGCTCTTTTGTTGGCACGTGGGACAGTCTTTTAACCTGCTGGCCACAGGTCTGCCTGCGTATGCTGGGGCTGAATCATGCATTTAAGTGTTCTGGGCAGTGCAAAGCTTAATTGCTCACCCCTCTCCATTTTCCCTGGCACGTTCCAGCTCATACAAGTGTTGCACTTGCTAGGCAGATTTTTACCTTTCTAGATTTTTTTGCATTTAACGTCTGAAAAGCAGAGGGTGTTTCTGTCAAGGGAGCAGGCGATCAGAGTGTTTGGACAAGCTGTCGCTCATTAACAGTACTGTGAATATTTTCTGCTGCTCTGGAGTCTTGGCGAAGGGTGTTTCTACAAAGTTAACTTTAGGAGACTTCATACTGGAAAATGAGCAATGTGGTATCTGGTTTCGTTTCCCTTTGGTGGAGTTTTTATTTTTTTAAATGACTACTGATTCTTTCTTCTTGGATCACTGTTCTTTTTGGGTTCCCCCTGGATCTTCTAGAATGGGGGAGGGGGGAAACGGCGGCCCTTTCTGTGACTTGTGGACTTCAACTCGCAGAATTCTGGCTCAGCAGTTCTGGGAGTTGAAGTCCACGAGTCGTAAAAGGGCCATCGTTCCCCACCCGCTCTAGAAGGTGGGGCTGGTAAAAGACCCAGGATGTAAGAACCCAGTGGGGGGATGGATGGATGGATGAATGCTGCAGAGCCTGGCGTCTTTCTCCTCTGCAGGATCTAAAAGCAACTCCAGTATTTTGTCTGACGGTGGTTTACTTGAAGTAGAAATTGGGATCCTTTCTCCTAGAGACCTTAGCCACGATCTTGAGATTTGTGATTCTGGCACAAAATTGGATATGCTCGGAGGCCAGAATTGGGAAACGCAGAAGGGGAGAAGGCAATAGGACGTTTCAGCTCTGTAGAGAGGCTGGCTGTGGATTATGGACTACAGAGCACTTAGATAGCAAGCAAGCAAGAGTCCCAGGCAAGTTTCATTTAGAATTGTACAATTGGGCAAGATGCCAGCAAGGCCACCTGGGTTGGTCTTGGCTGTCTTGCCGCATTTGCTGACGAAGGTGAAAGTCCCTGTATCCCCCCCCCCTGTCATTTTAGCTATTATGTCTTAGAAAATTACACAACACCCACATATTTTGTGTGTGTGGGGGGGGCCTTCCCCTCAGCTAGCTGTAGTGGCCTTTTCCTGCATTTCCACTGTTTAGGCACAGTTGAGGCTAACGAACGATGCTTCTGCAGAGGGAAAGGACGGGGGACCGAATAGTTTGCCCAGTCCGCCCCATGGCTTAAGAGGCCGCTGCTCTGGAGAGAGGGTGGTCAGCCTCGGGTGTGGCTGCGGCCCCCCTTCCCCCCACTTTCTGCAGCGAGGCTCCCCGGCTGCCTCTTCCGCTTCATGTTTCAACCTCTGGAACCGGTCAGTATAGAGAAGAGGATATCAGGCTTCGTTTCCACTCAGGCTGTGCCACTCCAGATTAATTCTGCTGCGGAGAAGGCAGTAGTACTACGTTCTGCCAGGCTCCAGTTTTAGACTGTTCTAAAAATCTTCCTTAGGTGGGAGCCAGAAGACTCCCACCATCTGCTACTTCCATATAGAGTTGTGGTGCGTGCTTTGCGACTGTTGGCAGAAGGCGACAGGTTGGGGGCTGAGGGCTCCTCTGCCTAAGCTTGGCGAGGATGCAGGGTCCTGCAACATTCTCTTGAGACAGGTATATTCAGCCTTCTTTTCTCTGCTGCACTTCAGAGAGCTGATCCTGGAAGCAGCAGCACCAGACAGGCTGCTCCCCTTGTCTCAGTCAGACAAAATTAAGGCACCGCAAAGAGCATCATGTGGGCCCATGCTAGAAGGCTGAGGGAGGATAGAAGGCCTTACCCTCTGCAAAGTGGGGGGGGGGGCTACACAGTGAACCTAACTGCGTTTTGGACCAAGCATTATATTATTTGTGAGGAAACTGCCACCCTTTTGAGCCAGCAGCGACTGGCTACATTTGGGCAGTTTGTAGGACTTGCGTTAAAAGTTTCCTCTGCCTCAGATTTGCAGCGTGGCCCACTCTGTGGTGCCACAGCTGGTGAAAAGGTATCCAGAGTTTTCTGAATTGGCACCAAGAAGCATTTTCCCTGCAAGGTAGTCCAGAACCAACTAATATTTGATGCTCACAATTTTGATTTTTTTTTATATTGCAGATCCATATATTGGATTTGAAACAAACACACACGCACTGAACAACTTGGAATGGCATAGCAAGGTTATGTTCAGTGCTCTTCTTGCAGCTTTGAAAAGCAGCCATCGGAGAGATGGTAAAGGATTAAAAAAAAAAAACAGCAAATGTTGGCTGATCTTGGTTCTTTTTAAAAATGTAATATTACGATGATTTTTTTGTAAATTGTTTTTTTTTTCTTATCTATGTACAAATTCTTGGCCATTCTTTGTTTTTACATGTTCATGCTGTGTAATTTTGAATTGTTAACTGAAATACTGAACATAATGTGCATTTTTCTGTACAGATGAAATGGGAGAATTTAATAAAAAAGAGTCTGCAGGTTTTATGGTTCATGTTGTGTTTTCCTCTGCTGCTTTTCAAATAATGACCTATCTGAGTACTGCTAGTTTTCAAGGTTACTTAGTGGTGATTATTGGCTGTCTCAGGACTTTGCCCTTAGCCCTTTTGAATTTCTGAAGGACCCCCTGATCCTCCTCCTTTTCCTGACAAACCAGGGGGATCAGTTCTCTGTTACAGATGCCCCAGACCAGGGGTAGTCAACCTTGGCTCTTTTATGACTCGTGGACTTCAACTCCCAGAATTCCTGAGCCAGCTAAGCTGGCTCAGGAATTCTGGGAGTTGAAGTCCACGAGTCATAAAAGAGCCAAGGTTGACTACCCCTGCCCCAGACTATTCAATCTTGACTGATAACGTCTTGCAGAAGACAGAGAGCTCTTGGGCGAAGAGGCATTGGAGAGAGGAATGGGGGCATCTTTCTTGAACCTATGTGCTCAGCCCTGAAGCTATGGTCTGCTCTGCTCAGCAAGTGGGGAGAATGCAAGGCTACATTAACATGCGACAGCCTTGACCTACAACAATGGGTCACACAGCGAAGGCTTAAAAACAATCCCGGTTGGAGGGTGTTGGGTGAGATGTTTTATTTGTTTAGGAAAATCTACACACTCTACCCAGCTCCTAGAACAGGGCACAACTTCCCAGCCACACTAAGTCAGGCAACAATAATTACAATACTCAAAGGGCACATTCGAGCAGATTGAAAGTACATTTCACAACCAACCTGGGCATCTCAATCACAAAGCCCCAAAGAATGTATAAAGCCCACCTACTCTCAACCCCATTTTGTCAGCCACCCCAGAAACCTGCAGCTGTCGCTGTATCCCAAAGGTGCTTTTTTTCCAGGAGGCAACTGGACTTTGTTTTTTTCTTTGAATACGTTTCGCTTCTCACCCAAGACGTTTCTTCAGCTTTTGCACTACTACCCATCTGCGCTACTCAGGTGACCCTGATCCTTCCCTTCCCCACCATCCAGTCAGAGCTGAAGAAGCTGCCTGGATGAGAAGGGAAACGTCTTCAAAGAAAAACAAGGAAGTCCAGTTACCTCCTGAAAAGGCGTCTTTGGGATAACGATGACCTACCTGGATGACTGAGAATCTCCATAGACATTTTGCTGTCTGAGTAGTTTCTGGCTACCAAATAAACAGAGACCTCCCCCCCCCCCCCCCCAANAAGGCTCTTCCCCACCAGGCTGTTCCTGGCTGGCTCAGGAATTCTGGGAGTTGAAGTCCAGGAGTCATAAAAGAGCCAAGGTTGCCTACCCCTGCACTAAGGGGAGCCTCCTTCCTGGGGATTCTGTCCTATTCGTGGTTTGCAGTGTGGCAGGGGCTTCCCTGACCCCTTCAAGGGAGCCTGCCTGCCTTTTGTGATCACGTTTCCTTCATTCTGCAGAGATGTCCTGCCTCATGGAGGCCCTGGAGGACAAGCGGGTCCGGTTACAGCCAGAGTGCAAAAAACGCCTTAATGACCGCATTGAGATGTGGAGCTTTGCTGCCAAGGTCAGTGAGGTGTCACTTGCCTCTTTCTTAAATGTGAACAGAAGAGTCATTTGCATGTCTGGAAGTGAAGGGGGGTGGGGGGGTGAAACAGATCCTGGGAAAGGTTTGGTGTCCTTGCAGGTAGGTTGAGACTCATCCCCATCCAAGTCGTCTTTGACTTACGGTCACTGTTAAGATCAGAATTTCCATTACCAGGCAAGCAAGGCGATTGTCAAATGAGTTGTGTCTGATTTTGCAATCTTTTTTGCCACATTTGTTGAGCAAATCCCTGTGGTTCTTAAGTGAATCATGTGTTTGTTAAAGCGAATCTAGCTCCGCCCCATTGACTGCCTGTGGGAAGCTGGCTGGAAAGGTTGCAAATGATGATTACACGACCCTGGGATGTTGTAAATGCATGTTGGTTGAGAGTATCTAAAGAGAGAGAGAGGGAGACAGAGAGGGATATATAATGAAGTTAGGGATTGATCCAAAAGCAGCTGTAGGATGTTTTGTCCAGCTTCAACTGTGAAGAAAGTTCTATAAAAGCTTATGTGGAACTTTAGCTTGGATACATTTAAAGAAGTGCATCTGATTTAAAGGCATCAAAGATTAACAGAATTTTTGACCTTAAAAACGCAGTTCCTTTCCTTAAGACGTCTGGAAAGTTTTAAGAAAGGTGCACTAATCATTTCCCAGAGCAAACTGGGGATCCAAAATTTATTTGGGCACGTGCTAACTCTGGCTGGGGACTTCATGGTTGTTAAGATCCATCGTCGCCTTCTAGCCAGACTGATGCTTAAGAGGAGATCTCTACAGAATTTGCCCAGGTGAAACTAGCCTTTTACTGGCATAGCTTTGTTGGAAGAGGCTATTGTTTGACTCCTGCCTTGGCAACCCAATTTCACCTCTCTTGGCTGGGTTGGGTTGCCTTTCCCTGGGCTTGGCGGCTGACCGATCCTTTTCCTCCCGCCAGGTGGCCCCCGCAGAAGGCTTTTCGGACCTCGCCATGCAAGTGGTAACATCTCCATCCAAGAACTACATCCTGTCTGTGATCAGCGCGGGCATCTGCGTCCTGTTCCTGATTGGTCTGATGTGCGGGCGTATCACTAAGCGAGTGACACGAGAACTGAAGGACAGGTAGAGGCAACCTTGGTCGTCAGAGGGAAGGAGGAAGGCCTGCCCCATTTGTACAGTCTTCTCTGTATAGTCTCCCTCCCCACCTCGCTCTCCTTCAGACAATACAAGCCAATTAGAACAGCAGCAGCAGCGGCAGCAGCTCGTGTGTGTCGGCTGGGTCTCCCATCTTGTCCAGCAGCTTTGTTACCCCATCGTTAGCCACGGTTGTTTGCCTGCCTGTAGACAAAGCTCTTTCTTTTTTTTCTTCTTTTTTGTTTTCCTTTTTCCTCGTACTGTTGAACTACCTTCTTCACACGCTCCAAACCAGACGGACAAAACTTGCAGCCCGGGAGAGGTTTTTAAAGTCAAACCTTTTAAAGATTCCGTTCTTGGCATAATTGGGGCAGTGTGTCTCGGTGAGGAAATATTTGCGCTCCGAGGTTAGGCGGGACTTGAAAGGATGGGACGTTACCCACCGCTGACAACCGACCCTGGTTTGGAAATCTAGTTGGCCAATGAACCAGCATCTTCAGCTCATAATCTGTCAGCAAAGTGGTCTCAGAGGATACCATCTCCACCAGTCTCCTCTGTCTGTCACAAGGTTCTGTTTGTGTGCATTTTTCCTTTCCTTTCCTTTCCTTGCTGGTTTGTTCCTCAGTTTCTGCCAAAAGGCAAAGCCGTCCATTTTCTCCGTTGTCTTTGGGATTAATAAAATATCGACCACAAGAAACAAAGTCCAGTGGTTTTATAGGTTCCCCTCGCAAAGCTACGCCTGTCAGATGAGGCAGGTGGAGGTGCGAAGCTGCATAGCAAGTAGACACCTTGGAAAGTTACCCCGAAGGTTTGGGCCCCCGAAAGAGGAGGGCCATTGCTGGGGTGAGGATTAGCAGGTGACCCTCTTCCCCCATAGGCAGGTCCGCCATTGATCGCAAGGGGAGAGGCCTCCACGCTCTCAAGAATCAAGCTGAAGAGATTGACAGGCTTGAGAAGTAGGAAACTCTGTCCCTGAGCAAGAATGGGGTGGTGGGGACTCTTTTCTCTCTCATTTGACAGGAAGTGCTACTTTTTCTGAAGCAGCACTATGAATAGCCCTCCTGGTCTGAACCTGGATGCTACTCTTGACCCGATTGGGGAGTAAAAGAAGCTGCAGAAGCTCTTTTGTTGGCACGTGGGACAGTCTTTTAACCTGCTGGCCACAGGTCTGCCTGCGTATGCTGGGGCTGAATCATGCATTTCGGTGTTCTGGCCAGTGCAAAGCTTAATTGCTCACCCCTCTCCATTTTCCCTGGCACGTTCCAGCTCATACAAGTGTTGCACTTGCTAGGCAGATTTTTACCTTTCTAGATTTTTTTGCATTTAACGTCTGGAAAGCAGAGGGTGTTTCTGTCAAGGGAGCAGGCGATCAGAGTGTTTGGACAAGCTTGTCGCTCGTTAACAGTACTGTGAATATTTTCTGCTGCTCTGGAGTCTTGGCGAATGGTGTTTCTACAAAGTTAACTTTAGGAGACTTCATACTGGAAAATGAGCAATGTGGTATCTGGTTTCGTTTCCCTTTGGTGGAGTTTTTATTTTTTTAAATGACTACTGATTCTTTCTTCTTGGATCACTGTTCTTTTTGGGTTCCCCCTGGATCTTCTAGAATGGGGGAGGGGGGAAACGGCGGCCCTTTCTGTGACTTGTGGACTTCAACTCGCAGAATTCTGGCTCAGCAGTTCTGGGAGTTGAAGTCCACGAGTCGTAAAAGGGCCATCGTTCCCCACCCGCTCTAGAAGGTGGGGCTGGTAAAAGACCCAGGATGTAAGAACCCAGTGGGTGGGTGGATGGATGCTGCAGAGCCTGCCGTCTTTCTCCTCTGCGGGATCTAAAAGCAACTCCAGTATTTTGTCTGACGGTGGTTTACTTGAAGTAGAAATTGGGATCCTTTCTCCTAGAGACCTTAGCCACGATCTTGAGATTTGTGATTCTGGCACAAAATTGGATATGCGAGAGGCCAGAATTGGGAAACGCAGAAGGGGAGAAGGCAATAGGACGTTTCAGCTCTGTAGAGAGGCTGGCTGTGGATTATGGACTACAGAGCACTTAGATAGCAAGCAAGTTAAGAGTCCCAGGCAAGTTTCATTTAGAATTGTACAATTGGGCAAGATGCCAGCAAGGCACCTGGGTTGGTCTTGGCTGTCTTGCTGCATTTGCTGATGAAGGTGAAAGTCCCTGTATCCCCCCCCCCCTGTCATTTTAGCTATTATGTCTTAGAAAATTACACAACACCCACATATTTTGTGTGTGGGGGGGGGTTTCCCTCAGCTAGCTGTAGTGGCCTTCTCCTGCATTTCCACTGTTTAGGCACAGTTGAGGCTAACGAACGATGCTTCTGCAGAGGGAAAGGACGGGGGACCGAATAGTTTGCCCAGTCCGCCCCATGGCTTAAGAGGCCGCTGCTCTGGAGAGAGGGTGGTCAGCCTCGGGTGTGGCTGCGGTCCCCCTTCCCAGCACTTTCTGCAGCGAGGCTCCCCGGCTGCCTCTTCCGCTTCATGTTTCAACCTCTGGAACCGGTCAGTATAGAGGAGAGAATATCAGGCTTCGTTTCCACTCAGGCTGTGCCACTCCAGATTAATTCTGCTGCGGAGAAGGCAGTAGTACTACGTTCTGCCAGGCTCCAGTTTTAGACTGTTCTAAAAATCTTCCTTAGGTGGGAGCCAGAAGACTCCCACCATCTGCTACTTCCATATAGAGTTGTGGTGCGTGCTTTGCGACTGTTGGCAGAAGGCGACAGGTTGGGGGCTGAGGGCTCCTCTGCCTAAGCTTGGCGAGGATGCAGGGTCCTGCAACATTCTCTTGAGACAGGTATATTCAGCCTTCTGTTCTCTGCTGCACTTCAGAGAGCTGACCCTGGAAGCAGCAGCACCAGACAGGCTGCTCCCCTTGTCTCAGTCAGACAAAATTAAGGCACCGCAAAGAGCATCATGTGGGCCCATGCTAGAAGGCTGAGGGAGGATAGAAGGCCTTACCCTCTGCAAAGGGGGGGGGGGGGCTACACAGTGAGCCTAACTGCATTTTGGACCAAGCATTATATTATTTGTGAGGAAACTGCCACCCTTTTGAGCCAGAAGCGACTGGCTACAGTTGGGCAGTTTGTAGGACTTGCGTTAAAAGTTTCCTCTGCCTCAGATTTGCAGCGTGACCCACTCTGTGGTGCCACAGCTGGTGAAAAGGTATCCAGAGTTTTCTGAATTGGCACCAAGAAGCATTTTCCCTGCAAGGTAGTCCAGAACCAACTAATATTTGATGCTCACAATTTTGATTTTTTTTTATATTGCAGATCCATATATTGGATTTGAAACAAACACGCACGCACTGAACAACTTGGAATGGCATAGCAAGGTTATGTTCAGTGCTCTTCTTGCAGCTTTGAAAAGCAGCCATCGGAGAGATGGTAAAGGATTAAAAAAAAAAAACAGCAAATGTTGGCTGATCTTGGTTCTTTTTAAAAATGTAATATTACGATGATTTTTTTGTAAATTGTTTTTTTTTCTTATCTATGTACAAATTCTTGGCCATTCTTTGTTTTTACATGTTCATGCTGTGTAATTTTGAATTGTTAACTGAAATACTGAACATAATGTGCATTTTTCTGTACAGATGAAATGGGAGAATTTAATAAAAAAGAGTCTGCAGGTTTTATGGTTCATGTTGTGTTTTCTTCTGCTGCTTTTCAAATAATGACCTATCTGAGTACTGCTAGTTTTCAAGGTTACTTGTGATTATTGGCTGTCTCAGGACTTTGCCCTTAGCCCTTTTGAATTTCTGAAGGACCCCCTGATCCTCCTCCTTTTCCTGACAAACCAGGGGGATCAGTTCTCTGTTACAGATGCCCCAGACTATTCAATCTTGACTGATAACGTCTTGCAGAAGACAGAGAGCTCTTGGGCGAAGAGGCATTGGAGAGAGGAATGGGGGCATCTTTCTTGAACCTATGTGCTCAGCCCTGAAGCTATGGTCTGCTCTGCTCAGCAAGTGGGGAGAATGCAAGGCTACATTAACATGGGACAGCCTTGACCTACAACAATGGGTCACACAGCGAAGGCTTAAAAACAATCCCGGTTGGAGGATGTTGGGTGAGATGTTTTATTTGTTTAGGAAAATCTACACACTCTACCCAGCTCCTAGGACAGGGCACAACTTCCCAGCCACACTAAGTCAGGCAACAATAATTAGAATGCTCAAAGGGCACATTCGAGCAGATTGAAAGTACATTTCACAACCAACCTGGGCATCTCAATCACAAAGCCCCAAAGAATGTATAAAGCCCACCTACTCTCAACCCCATTTTGTCAGCCACCCCAGAAACCTGCAGCTGTCGCTGTATCCCAAAGGTGCTTTTTTTTCAGGAGGCAACTGGACTTTGTTTTTTTCTTTGAATACGTTTCGCTTCTCACCCAAGACGTTTCTTCAGCTTTTGCACTACTACTACCCATCTGCACTACTCAGGTGACCCTGATCCTTCCCTTCCCCACCATCCAGTCAGAGCTGAAGAAGCTCTTGGGTGAGAAGCGAAACGTCTTCAAAGAAAAACAAGGAAGTCCAGTTACCTCCTGAAAAGGCACCTTTGGGATAACGATGACCTACCTGGATGACTGAGAATCTCCATAGACATTTTGCTGTCTGAGTGGTTTCTGGCTACCAAATAAACAGAGACCTCCCCCCCCCCAAAAAAAAAATGCAGCCTGCCTCCAGTTCATGTCTACAGCGTCTTTCTCCCGGCTTGGAAGAGGATCAGATTTTGCCTCTAACAGAGCCAAGGAGCGTTTCTATTTAGAGCAGGGGTAGTCAACCTTGGCTCTTTTATGACTCGTGGACTTCAACTCCCAGAATTCCTGAGCCAGCTAAGCTGGCTCAGGAATTCTGGGAGTTGAAGTCCACGAGTCATAAAAGAGCCAAGGTTGACTACCCGATAGAGGTTTGAGCGCTGGCAGGTCTGACCGAAGGATTTTTCTCAGGCGTTGCTCCCAGCTGCCCCTGCCATCGCCTTCAGGTAAGAGACGCCCGCCAGGTGTATGCGTGCAAAAAGAGGAAGGGGCAGCAACGCTCTCTTGCTTCTTTTGGGCAGCCCGCCAAATCAATTGGGCTCCGGTTCGGGGCAGGTAGGTCCGGCAAACGATCGGGCTCGACGCAGGGCTTGCTTCGCTCGGCGCGCGTCGCATTTGACAAGATCTCCCGTCGGTGGCAAAGAAGCCGATCAGAACTCGCCCCACCGACCTCCGACGGGAGAGTGCGCAAGCGCAGTGCCATCGCTTCGCCTGCGCGCCTCGTGGCCGTCCGCGTAGCTCAACCAAAACGCGCATGCGCCCACTCTTGCACTCTCTGTCTCTCTCTCTCTCTCCCCGCCCCCTCCTATCGCCCCCAGCGCCGATTGGCTGCTGCCCGACGGGCTGCGTCACGGGGAAGACGCGCGACTTTGTCGCACGCGGCGGCCGTAAAGCGCGGGCGGAAAACAAAGGGGGAAGGTCGCGCGCTGCCCCCAGGTCTCCCTCCCTCTTTCCCTCCCTCCCTCCCCCCGCGACGGTACCTGTGGGGGGGCGGCGCCGAGTATGCAGATGAGCGCCGCGGGGCGGGCCCGACGATGCAAATTGAAGCCTCCCGCCAGCGCGCCCAGGTGAGCGCCGCGCCGGAGGCCGCCCAGGTGAGTCCCGCGGCTGCGCCGGGCAAAAGGGGCGCTCAGGCGGCCCCGAGAGGAAAGCTGGCTGGGGGTGACCGCCTGGCCCCTCCCCTCCTTGCACCCCAGCAGGGTAGGGGCGGCGCCCCCCTTGCAGCCCGTAACACCCCAGCGCCCCCCTCCTCTCCCCCCCCCGCCGCCCCCGGGAAGGAAAGGCGCCTGGGGGTTTTATCCGTCTCGCCCTGCTTCCCGCCTTTCGTGGCTTCTCTTGGCGGGGGGTGGGTGGGTGGGTGGGGGGGACGTTCGCTCCCTCGCCCCCCCCCTCCGCTGCCTTGCCTCACCTGTCGGGCACCAGACCCCACCTGCGCCCCCCCCCCGCTCTTTCCTTCTGTCCCCAACAGCCCCCTTGCGAGGGGGGAGGCTCGGGAGTGTAGTTTGCCCCCTCCCGTTGCCACCCTTTAGGGCAAGTAGGTAGCCCCCCCAAGACCTTCACCCGGTTGGTTTGTTTATTAAATTTATACGCCCCCCCCATCCCATTGTTGCAGTGGCTGTAGGTGGCTTATAAAATGATACAAGAGAATGCAGGCATTCCTCGGCTTACAGCAGTTCATTTAGTGACCGTTCAAAGTTAACAACAGCGCTGGACAAAAGTGACTTGTGACTGTTGTTCACACTTAACAACCATTGCAGCATCCCCAAGGTCAGGTGATCCAACGTGAGACAACTGACGCATCATATTTAATGACGGTGGCAGGGTCACGTGATCGAGTTTTGCAAACCTCCTGCCAGCAGAGTCAATGGGGAAGCCAGATTCACTTAACAACCGAGTTGCTAATGATCAGCGATTCACTTAACAAGGAAGGCAAGGGAGGTCATAAAATGAAAATCATGTTCCTCTTTTGCAGAGCTAGCAGCAGCTGTGAAGATTTATCTGTGCATCTTTGGAGAACTGACTAACCGTCAGCATGATGCTTCTCCAGCGACTATTGGACCTCCAGTGGCAAAGAATGACTCCGACGTGGTGGAGGCTGTGTGGCGCCCGGCACAGCAGCACCAATGTTGCTGAGCCTCACGCGATGCCCCTGCCAACACATGCACAAGTGGTTATCTGTGGTGGTGGAATCATGGGCACCTCAGTGGCATATCATCTCTCCAAGCTAGGGTGGAAGGACATTGTCTTACTGGAGCAGGGCAGGTAAAGGATTATGTTTTTGAGCATGTCACCAACTCTGTCCAATCATAACTTCCTGGGTCTTCTTCCTCACAAACCATCCGCAATTTGTTCTGAAATGCATCTTCATTTATTCTCTATAAACGATTACATTTCCTCACTATGCCTTTTTTTTTTTTTTTGCACTGGGTGCTTCTTTTCTATATTATGCCTTCACTGGGCCCCCTTTTTGAGAGTAAAAGAAATGAAAATGGGCTAGTCACGTAGGAAGAAGAGCCGACGGCAGGGGGACCGAGGCAGTCATAGAACGGATTCCACTTGGTAAAAAGCGTCCACAAAAGAGATCTAAAACAAGATGGAGCGACGACATCAGCAAGTATTGCGGGCCCAAGTGGCAAAAGAAAGCCCGCAACAGTATTGGCTGGAAACCTGCAGAAGAGGCCTTCATCCTGCAGTGGACAGACAATGGCTAGAATGAATGGATGAATTGATCCCCTATTTGTTCTGGACCGCATCTCTGCTTGTTTTACCATAAAAGTGGTCCTTAACTTATAACTGTAATAGAGCCCAGAATTTCTGTCATATGTCACGATGGTGGTAAGTTGAGGAACCCATATGACCAACCCATTTTGTGACCATCCCAACTTATGACCGTGATGAGCAGACTCCATTATGGTTGTAAGTCAAGGACTACCAGTATGTATAACTTGCAATTGAGCTTCGGGGCTTCTTGGTCTCTTCTCTCTCTTGGGGTCTGGAGTTTCTCTACACCTCTCCGGCTTTTCCCTTTCAGGCTGGCAGCCGGTTCCACGCGGTTCTGCGCAGGCATCGTAAGCACCGTGCGGCATTTGTCCATTGAGCTGAAGATGGCCGATTACTCAAGGAGGCTCTACCAGCAACTTGAGCAAGAGACAGGTGTGAAAACGGGTAAGCACTGGAGCTGCCAATTTTGGGAAAAGAAGACATCCTGTATCTACCTTCTTGGCACCCTCCAATTGCATCAGGAGTAGAGGGGGAGTGGGGAGTGGGGAATACCGTAGAATGGAATGGAATGGAATAGGAATAGAACAGAATAGGAATCGAATCGAACAGAACAGAGCTGGAAGCGACCCTTGACTCCATGGGTGTTAGAGAAAAGGTACTTTTACTAGAGGGGCTGAATGCGGCGTGAGTGAGGCAATCTCTGAAGAAAAACTGCGCGGAAATCGTATATTGAAAGCAATCTCCAACGTCCAAAGCACCCCCCCCCCGGCCAGAGGAGTCCAGTCCAGTCCTGGTCCGATGTTTGGGGAATCTGGTGCCTGAGGTGGCTCTTTTTTTTGTGGGATCGCACGGAGGCCGAGCACGTGGTGCTTTTTGTTCCAGGTTACACGAGGACAGGCTCCATCTCACTAGCTCAGACCCAAGACCGGCTGATCTCGCTGAAGCGCATCGCCTCTCGACTCAAGTAAGCTGGCGCACATGCGCGTCTGGTGGGGCGGCACCTCCTTCGCCAGCCTGGTTGGAGCGAGTGTAACGGTTCCCGTGTGTCTCCGGCAGAATCATGGGAATCCCCTGCGAGCTTATCCCGCCAAAGAGAGTGGCCCAGCTCCACCCCTTTATCAACATCCACGACCTGGTGGGGGCCCTCCATGTGCCCGAGGATGCCGTCATATCATCTGCTGACGTGACCCTTGCTTTGGCCAATGCGGCTGCAGCAAACGGTATAGATAAGATAACCTTTATTGTCATTTTTATATTGTGGGCACAATGGCACACATCAAAAATGAAAGGAAGCACGGGCAGGACAGCTTCCCCGCTGTCCTGCCTGTGCTTCCTTTCTCAGGGGGTGGGCACTGTTTGGGAGGGGCGGTGGAGGGATGCCGCAAAGAGACCAGGGGGGGGGATGGGCTCCCCTCCTGCTTTCCTTTAAGGCCCTGGGTGTATGTTGTGAGCATTTTCTGGGAAGCAGGTACTGTTTGATGGATAGGGAGGGAGCAGTTATGGGCCATATCCTGAAAACCAGGAAGCTTCAGCTGATCGGGAGTAATGTAAATATCATTGTGTCCTGTGCTTTTACCCTAAGCAGTATGGCACTTTGGGTGAGCAAAGTCCAAGAGAGACAGTGAAAGCTTTCCCTTGCAGTGGATCACCAGAGGTCACCCAACTTGCTCTCCTCTTCCCAGGCGTTCAGATCCACGAGCGAACCAGTGTCATCCACGTTTTGGGCCAGAAGGGCTGCGTAACTGGAGTGGATACGGACAGAGGGATGATTGAGTGCTCGTACTTCGTTAACTGTGCTGGGCAGGTGAGACCCTGGCTGGACTGTGGGGCTTGTTGGCCAGCCTCTCCTGATCATGGCTGGTCTTCTCTTTGGTGGGTTCAGGGACTGCCTGCCAAAGTAGACCTATCCAGCAGATTTTAGGTGGCTGGGCCTTTTGTGCAACAAACAAGAGGGACCCGTTCAACTTGGCAAGCTGCTCACGTCATTAGACTAGGTTGCAGTTGTGCTAAATGGGGTGGCTGGTGGGATCGAGGGCAGGGGGCGAGTGGATGGCATGTGGAGGGCTCCTTGTTGTAGGCATAGAGTTGCCTGAAGACCAGAGAAGCACGAGAAGGTTATCCATCTGCTTTTCTCTCCGTTCTGTTTGGGTTGTGTAATCAGAACACTAGGTTTGCAAAGCATGTAATTGTGCTCAGTGAATGTTAAACCAGTAGACAATATTTGCGAACTGTTTGTGTGCTACACCAGTTGAAAAGCAGGCTATAAACTGAAATAATAAATAACTGGTTCCTTATATTATTTTGTCCCTGGAGACATTTACAAACAACTTTCTTTGCATCAATGATATTTAAAAGTGTGGGAAATAATATTGTCTGAAAAGATTAACACAACATAAAAAGTTTCCATAGTTTCAGTTTAATGAAAGAAATTCCTAATGGATTAAATGTAAGTGTTTTTTGGGGAACAAAGTATTGAAAATTAACAGTTGTTTCAGCCCTCAAGATTACAAACCAACTTACATGCACTTCTAATTTTTCTGGGTTTTTATTATTTGTTCTTATAAAATGTGGGGCTTTGCGGGTTTTTTTTATTATGGTGTTTTTTATTCCTGCATTTAAACAATGGGTTGAAATATTTCTTTGAAACAGTGCAGCGCAATTTGAAGAGTGAGCCCCATGGACGTAAAATCTGCCCTTGGTTTTTTAAGTTGCCTGTTTTGCTTTCAGTGGGCTTACGAGCTCGGCCTTTCCAACGAGGAGCCGGTCAGCATCCCGCTACATGCCTGCGAGCACTTCTACCTTCTGACGCGCCCCCTGAAGAGCCCCCTGGAGAGTAGCACTCCAAGTGAGGAACCTTCTCTTGCGCTGTGTTGCAGGTGCTTGGGCTTTGGCACAACGGCAGGCCGTGGGTGTTTAGTGCGGAGGTGCTTGGCGTCCACATGCAACGGAAAGGCTGGGAGCCCAAGGCGCTCCGGTTGTGTTCGGGAGCCACCCGCTCCAGGGACAGGGGGCTTGAGTACAGGCTGACTGTCTGCCAGTTGGGCACCTGGAGCACCACGGATTTCTCGCCCTTGAGTTAAAGCAAGGGTGTCCAAACTTGGGAACGTGAAGACGTGTGGACTTCAACTCCCAGAATTCCCCAGCCAGCCATTCCCCAGAAGCGATGCAAGTACGAAACCTTCTGAGGAGTTACAACGTCAGGGCACCTGACCTTGTTCCAGGCCGAACACGGGACAGCGCTGCTTGTTTCATTCTTGGCCTCTGCCTTCATAGATAAGCTTTTTGCGTATGGCTGGGGAGGGGTTGATTTAATTTCCATTTCAGGGGAGGTGCAGGGAAAGAGACCAATCCTTTCCCATCCTGCTTTACCTCCTCATCATGCAAGTCCTCCTAACACCCGCCTGGGTCATTTATGACCACCGGAAGTGATGCCGTGGTCTCCCTTTTAATATTAAAATCAGACCCCCTTGAGCCCTTGACGTCAGCGCTTCCCAACCTTGGCGATTTTAAGACAGGTGGAATTCTGGGAGTGGAAGTCCACCTGTCTTCAGGTTGCCAAGGTTGGACACCCCTGAGGTAAAGGGTATGGACGGGCTTAAGAGGCTTGACGCGAGACCTAAGGGACTCAGCCGGGACAGCCTTGGGCAAGGCCTGATTCCATTTAGAGTGGATTCTTTAACTTCCTTGGCCCAAGAGCTGTGGGTCTGAAGAAGCCCCCAGCAGCTCTGGAGAAGAGTGAAGACAAAGGCTTTGAGGTGCCCTTTGCTTGTGCTGACGTTCTGAAACAGCCTGCATGAGCAGAGAGCAGGAGTAGCACGGCTGGGCGGGTTCCTGCTGGGGTTCCCTTTGCTAGAGAATGTCTGCCCAGCAGCCCTTCTTCTGTGCCCTGGGCTGCAGTAGAAGGCAGCCTGGCCCTGGTGCAGGAACTCTGTGTGCGGTGGGCCCATAGCAAGCAAGGAGAGTTGCCCCCCCCTCCTCACCAGCATCCTGCTTCTCTCCCTGGCAGCTGTTGTGGACCTTGATGGGAGGATCTACATTCGCAACTGGCAAGGGGGCATCCTCTCTGGCGGCTTTGAAAAGAACCCCAAGCCTATTTTCACCGAGGGCAAGAACCAGCTGGAGATACACAACTTGCAGGAAGACTGGGATCACTTTGGTAAGGCAGCCAGGCTGTTGGTGTAAAGGAATGCCCGTTTTACTGGTTTGTTTGTATTTATTTACTCCGTTTTGACGCTGCCCATCAAAATTGAAGCTCACAAAAAATAGAGGAAGAATTTTCTGCATGCCTGAGTGAGCAAAGCGGTTGGGAGACGAAGTGGCCCCGAGTGCTGCACTGCAATTCCTTTGTTTTTGGGAGGAGAGCAACTTTGCATGTATATCCTGGTCGCTCCTTTCCACTTCCCCTGTTTTTCAGATGATCGGGGTATCTCCCCTGCCAGGTACGTAACTTTTGAGATACGGTGACGTTGCTAAGGCACCCCGCCGAACAGAATACAGGTAGTCCTCCACTTACGACAATAATTGAGCCCAGCATTTCTGTTGCTAAACGAGACATTTGTTAAGTGGGTTTTGCCCCGTTTTACGACTTTTCTTGCCACAGTTGTTAAGTGAACCGCTGCAGTCCTTGAGTTAGTAACATTTAACACATTCATTGTTAATTGAATCTGGCTTCCCCATGTGATCACACAAGGGGATCACATGACCCCAGGACACTGAAACCATCGTAAATGTGAGTCAGTTGCCAAGCGTCTGAATTTTGATCTCGTGACCACGGGGATGCTGCAGCAGTTGTAAGTGGGGAAAACGGTCATAAATCACTTTTTGGATGCCGTTGTAACTTCGAATTGTCACTAAATAAAACGTTGTAAGTCAAGGACTGCCTGTAGAAGGCAGGCTGGGCTAGAAACATGCTTTGCTCGGAGGAAACGCCTGTAAGTGTCGTTGCTGGAGGCCTGGCAGGCTCTTGGGGTGGTGGGAGAGGAGACCCGCCCACCCTTTGCTCTGCTCTGTCTTGGGGGTTTAGAGCCACTCCTGAGCGCCTTGCTGCGGAGGATGCCAGACATGGAGGCCCTGGAGATAGTGCAGCTGGTGAATTGCCCAGAATCCTTTACTCCAGACATGCGGTGCATCATGGGAGAATCCCCCACCAGACAGGGCTACTTCGTCCTAGCGGGAATGAATGCGGCCGGTACCTCTTTTGGAGGTGGAGCAGGCAAGTAAGTGACTCTTTTCCTAGCGAGGAAGGAGGGTGGGGTGAAACTTGGGGGTGGTGGTTTCTGTATAGGAAAGTGGTTTTTTTTAGTCCTTAACTTATTGAAACAGAGATGCTATTTAATTCGATTTTAAAACAAACTATTTATTTATTATCGTGGTTTTTAGTATCGCCTGTTCACCGCCCTGAGTCCCGCAAGGGAGATAGGGCGGTATATAAATTTAATAAATAAATAAATAAATAAATAAATAAATAAATAAATAAATGTCTAGCGGAGTAAAATCCGCAAATGCTTTTCTTTGCATTTATTGCGCGATTTGGAATCCCGGACTCGGAGCGATGGGATTGTCTGGCTGTCTTCAGGCAATTCGAAAGCCGCCCGTCAGGGGTGCTTGGAGGCCGTTCGTGTTACAAACGGAGGGCCTCCGCAGCCCCTTTCAGCTCTGCATTTTCGGTAACAGGTTCCTGGCTGAATGGATGGTGAATGGCTACCCCTCCGACAACGTCTGGCCCTTGGACCTGAAGCGCTTCGGGGCTCTGCAAAGCAGTCGCACTTTCCTCCGCCACCGGGTCATGGAAGTGATGCGTAAGTAGCCGAGGGCCCCCAAATTCGCCTGCCTCCTGAATTTGGATTTTTCTCTTTTCCTGTTAAAGTTTGAGCTGGGTGTTTGGGTAATTGTAAAGGATGTTCTACCTGGACTGGGAGGATAATGCGCTGTGTCCCTTCCAGCACATTGATTCTGTGGTTCTGTGGCCCCTCTCCAGCCCTGATTTATGACCTAAAAGTTCCCCGCTGGGATTTCCAGACTGGCCGGCAGCTCCGCACGTCTCCCCTTTACGACCGGCTGGATGCCCAGGGAGCGAGGTGGATGGAGAAGCATGGCTTTGAGAGGGCAAAATACTTTGTCCCTCCAGGGAAAGGTGAGAGCGATTCCCCCTGGAGGCACCCCTGGGGCCCGAGAGCCACGTTTGGGGGCCCCGTGCTGAGCCTTGCGCTTCCTCTCCTGCAGATTTGCTGGCTCTGGATCAGAGCAAGACCTTTTACAAGCCAGACTGGTTTGACATTGTGGGGGCAGAGGTCAAGTGCTGCAAAGAGGCCGTCTGTGTCATTGACATGTCCTCTTTCACCAAGTTTGAGATAAGCGTAAGTGCTTCTTCCTCCAGAGCGTTATTCCTAAGGTTTCCATGTTTGTGTACAGGTTGTCAGAACTGCCATCTCATTGCTAGTCTGCCCTGAACCCTGGGGGAGAACCTGGAAGGGAGGGCGAGGGCCTGGGGGAAAGGGAAACTGAACTGGGAGGACCCTTCTCTGTGAGAAAACCTTCTAGGTCCTTTCCCCGGGAGAAGAATGCCAACCCATAGAGTGACTGTTTCCAAAACATCTCTTAGTAAACTACACCTTTCTCAACCAATGGAGTTAAGGATCGTTTTTGCTTAGAAGCCCAGGTTGAGGCAGGTCTGACACCGGATCCTGACTTCAGACATACGTTTTAGACTTTGGTTTTGGCTTAGCAACATTTTGTGAATGTAAATAGTGGGTCGTGTAAGTCTTCATTGCTTAGTGTCATTTACAAATGCAACCAATTTGGAGTAGGGTAAAACTTTTAATGTGCCTTGGCCTCTTCTGTCAAGCTGTTCTTATGTTTTGTGTTCCTTCTCCCGTCCGCTGCAGTCCACAGGGGGACAGGCTTTGGAGGTTCTGCAGTATCTCTTCTCCAACGACCTGGACGTGCCAGTTGGGCATATTGTGCACACGGGGATGCTCAATCACAACGGAGGATACGAGAACGACTGCAGCATAGCCCGCGTGAACAAACGCAGGTAGGCTCTCCCACCTGTCGCCTGGATACTTGGCTGGCTTCAGCCTGTGGGGCCTTTTGCGACTTACCATCCATACCCAGAATCTGCTTGAAGCTATGAGGACCTCAGATGATAAACTCGATGTGGCCTCATTTGCACGATGACACCACAGCTTGTGATATCACTGGACCATCAGTGTGGTTGAAGAGATGCCCTGGTTTCTATGGAACACTGGTCTGCTTGGACACAAGCCTAGAAAAATTGAGTCACCCGAGTGTAACTAGAAAGGGGAGGCATTTTCCCCCCATTCCTTACTTTAATTTCATATAAAGAGATTCAGAGGACAGTCCAGGAATTTCTATCATGGCCTGTGTTGTGTGTTCCGGGTTATTTTTCCTTAAATCATGATCACTGGCGTACCCTGTAGTGTCAGGCCAATCATCTGTGGTTTATCTGATAAACTATGGTTAAGCAGTCTGTTGATAGTGTGATATACACAACTGGGGCCTTGTGCAAGCCTAGAAAACTGAATGCTGTAGTATGTAATCTGCTCGTTGTATTGAAGGCGCCTTTCCAGAAATGAGACGAGCAAGAAAGTCACTAAATGAAATGGAAACCTGTTGCTGTCAGAATTGGGCAGTGAAGGCCTGGCTGGCCATTCCCATTTGCTGGCTGTTAAGACAGTTATGCTTTTTAATAAAATGGATTATTTGGAAAAGGTGCTGCCAAGTTCTGTGTCTGGCTCCTGCTTCCAAATATTGACTCACACACGGTTGTGATGGTAATTCAGACTTTACTTAAAGAGATAACAGCAGCCAAAGCCTGCAAACCAAAACAGAGTCTCTGACAAATGCTTGCCTGAATGGTTAGCTTTTTAAAAGGTGAGGAGCGCAGAGGAATAGTCCAAAATCAGTCCAAGGATCCAAGAGCTGGATCAGAATTGTCAGCCAGTATAGAATTTCACCAGCAGAAGCCACATGGATGTCACACAAGAGCCAGAGATCAGACAGTTGTTTCCAGCAAAGGGAACATAGGTCAGAGTTGCCTCTTAAATTAGACTGATGTCAGCTGTCGTTATTCAAGAAATTTACTTCCTTGCTTAGCAAGACCCCTCTCCAAGGGAGAGGGCAGTTAAGAAAAAGAAAATATAAATAAGAGGAAGAACGTCTCTGCTCTCCTGGGGCTGGGGGCTGGGAAGCCTTACATCCTCTGACTGTTCCAGGTGCTCAGGTGATCCCTGTCTTTTTCCTGAGGCTGACCTGCCACAGATTTCTGCTGGAGCAGCATCCCCAGCATCCTGGGCGTGACACTCTGCCTGATGGAATAAGTAACGAAGTGTTATTATCTGATGGCCTCTTTTCAAAGGCCTTGTATAACAATGGTCCCCCTTTGGGCTTAAATGCGTTTCCTGTTTTTTATACTGCAGCTTCTTCATGATTTCCCCCACAGACCAGCAGGTGCACTGCTGGGCCTGGCTGAAGAAGCACATGCCTGAAGACAGCAACCTCTTCTTGGAAGACGTCACCTGGAAATACACAGGTGAGGGGAGTCGCCAGATGCTGGCCCAGCTGGAGGGGTCTGGAACTCCTGTGGACCAGGGCAGGGTCCTTCTCCAAGGGAACCTCAGATTCTGCACGCTGACCTGCTGTTTTTGTTTGCAACGTTCAGACCTGTCACTCCTAGTTAACTTTGTCCTGGGACAGGTCCCCAGTCAGGTGATTCAGTGTTCCTGCCCACCTGGTTGGAATCTCGGAGCTAATAACCTCCCTTCAGAGGAGTCTCGGCTCTCCGGGTTCCTGAAACTGAGCGAGGAATGATTTGTTTCCCCCTGGGCCTTTTCCCATTTAATATTTTTCAGAGCTCAAACCATAAATATAACAAATAGGTTTTAATCTGTGCCAGAGTCACAAGGACTGTTGTGTCTCTTGGTTAGTGTGTCAGAGGCAGATCCAAGTTGGTGACTTCATTTATTTGTATCCCTCTTTTATTATTTTTGAAAAATTACGCAAGGCAGTGAACATAGCCAACACACTCTCCTCCTCCTATTTGACCCACAACAACAGTCCTGTGTGGTGGGTTGGGCTGAGAAAGAGTGACTGGCCCAAAGTCATCCGCCAGCTTTTATGCCTAAGGCAGGACTATAATTCACCATCGCCTAGTTTCCAGTTTGGTGCCTTACCCACTAGACCAGACCCATCCGTGGCTGCCACGATATGGGGTGGAAAGTTGATGTTCCTCCCATATCCCAGAGGCCTAACACAAAATCTGGATGAGGACAGTTGCTCCACCTGGGCTTCCGTGTTTGGCACAGCTGGGTGCTTGTTTTGAAAGGCTGATACGAGAAGCCTTCAATTCGACAAGACCCAAGAACTTGTGTTAGGATCTCCAGGTACCTTTTCCCATTTAAGTGGTCTCTTCTCACCCGGATAAAATCCAATTTCAGGTTCCAAACCTTTTCCCCGCCTTTGCTGACTTGTGTTGAGCTGACAAAGCTGCAGAGAGAAGAGCGAGGGGCGTAATGGGGCAAGACTTCCTGTTCTGCAGTTGTCACTGGTGCTGAATTGTTTTCCTTTATTTCCCTCAGCCTTGAATCTGATTGGCCCTCGTGCCATGGACGTCCTGTCGGAGCTCTCTTACGCGCCGATGACACCTGAGCACTTCCCTTCCCTCTTTTGTAAGGCAGGTGACTTTTCCATTTCATCTGGCAACTTCCTTCCTTCCTATGCAGATGTTTTACAGCTAGTGGAGAGTGTCGCTTTGCTTCCTTCCAGTTTAAAACGGTTCCTTGCTGGTTTATTTACGGTGAAGTGAACGACAGTTTTCCTTGGTCTTTGGATTTTTGTTGTGTAAACGCCAGGGTCCCTCTTTCTGCAGGAGATGAGCGTCGGCTATGCCAACGGCATCCGTGTCATGAGTATGACGCACACGGGGGAGCCAGGCTTCATGCTCTACATCCCCATCGAGGTGAGTGGGGCTCGTAGTTCGAAGGTCAGTCTCTACTCCAGTGGTGGCGAACCTATGGCACGGGTGCCAGAGGCGGCACTCAGAGCCCTCTCTGTGGGCACGCACACGTCGCCCCAGTCCTAGGCCTTCAGCTGGGTTTTATAAAACCTTTTCACCTTAGGCCTCCACCGCCATGTGCAAAAAAAAAAAAAAGTTCAATCAGTCATTTCAACTTCTCGCGGGAAAAAAAAGATCTTGCAAAGTTGGAATTGATTGATTGAACTTTTTAGTCCCACCCAGTCTGCCGTTACCACCGCAGCCACGCCCACCCAATGGGCCACCCCCAGGCAACTGGCCACACCCAGCCAAAGGGCCACACCCACCCGGCATTTGACGATGCATAAGTGGGTTTTAGGTTGCAGTTTGGGCACTCGGTCTCTTAAAGGTTCGCCATCACTGCTCTCCTCTGTTGTGGGGGCTTGTCCCTAAGGGCCTAATCCCCAGAGGGCACGATGTAATCCACATTTTTTGTTTAAGAGGGATGCTGTCAGCCTTTGGTTTCCAGACTGCCCCTGACCAGGATTATTTAAAGGCCCCCTCCTCTCCTCCCCCCCCTTTGCAGTATGCCCTCCATGTGTACAACGAGGTGATGAGCGTGGGGCAGAAGTACGGGATCCGGAACGCTGGCTATTACGCCCTCCGCAGCTTGCGCATTGAGAAGTTTTTTGCCTTCTGGGGCCAAGATCTGGATGCTTTCACCAGCCCTATGGAATGTGGGCGAGAATTCCGGGTGAAGCTGGACAAGGTGAGGGGTGGTCCCCGAATGGTAGGCTTGGCGGGAGTGGTGGGACTTTCTAGCCCTGGGGCTGCCTGCCTTCTGCCTTTCAGGATTGCCACAGGGCACCAACAGGCTCCGAGTGAGACTTGTGGATTTGGAGTGGGCCACGCACAAGGGCCAGGGGTCCTCCACATGCCATTTATGCTCCCCAAAATTGGGGAAAACTTTAAGGACACGTATCCCTTTTAGTCAGGGTCTCCCAATTTTGGGAATTGAGGTCCACAAGGTTGGATCCCTTTGCTTTAATCCCCAAACCCCAAAGTGATTTTTCATGGCAGGAGCATTTAAGGTGTTAATCATCAAGAATCCGGGGATTGGAACAGACCCAACATTTCAGCCCAGCTGTTCCGGTGATGTAGCCAACTTCTGCATTACAACCACAGATGCCCTGGGTGGCCTGGGGAAGGTTCTGTCATTCCCCCTACGCCCTCCCTACCCCTGAACACAGTATTAACTTGCTTCATAGCTCTTGTGAGAAATATGAAGTAAGCTTCGTATCAAGTATGGGTCAACCGTCCCACTCAGCCATCTAGCAAAGAAAGACTCCTGGCCATTTGTTTTTGCCAGGAGTACACTTGACTGAAGCTTAAATGGTTACAGAAGTAGCGTAAGCTGAATCTGAGGTTTTCCCCGCACAAATAATACAAAATAAAGTTTCCTCTCCCTCCCTCCTCCCCCTCCGGCCATCCCCCGATAAATGTCCAATTAGGTGCTTGTATATTGTTTGGGAAACAGGTTCTCAGTTCCCAGCTCTGCATTTCGATAGTTGACCTTGGCTGGCTGAGGTTTCTCACAAGGCTCAGCTGGGCTTCCATCCCTGCCCTTCTTCCTCCCTACATTTCAGTCTTTCCCTCCCCCCCTCCCTCCCCCGTCACTAATGTCAGGCTGTCAGCTCATGAAGCTTGGATAGGAGAGATGCAGCCATGACAGTATCCTTCTAAGAAGTACGAACATCCCATCACCATCACAACGTGGTCCTTGGGTTGCTTGCCAATGGTTCTTTCCCAGCAGTAAGTAGAAGAAAGAGCCGAAGTGGATGGAATCCCGTCTCCTGACGTGTCTCTCTTGGCAGGGCATGGATTTCATCGGGAGGGATGCGCTGATGGCTCAGAAGCAGGAAGGGGTCTACAAGCGCTTCACCATGTTCATCCTGGAAGACCATAACACGGACCTGGACTTGTGGCCCTGGTGGGGGGAGCCCATCTATCGCAACGGCTGCTACATGGGCAAGACCACCAGCAGCGCTTACAGTTACACGCTGGAGCGGCACGTTTGCCTGGGCTTCGTTCACAACCTGGACCCCGAGACCGGCAAGGAGCAGCTGGTCACCCCAGACTTTGTCAACCGGGGCGAGTACGAGATCGACATTGCGGGGCAGCGCTTCCAAGCCAAGGCCAAGCTCTACCCCTTCAGCTCCCTGTTCACCTCCCGCCGGCGCAAGGACGAGATGGAGTTCAGCGGCTTCCAGGGAAAATAATCCCACGAAGCGCCAGACTTTTCCCACATGGCTCTTTGGACTTTTCTGGTCTGTTAGGTTTTGTATATTTTGACCCTTCCTTCCTTCCTTCCTTTCCCAAAGTGATCCTGCAGCTCCCAATCTAAAGGGGTATTTATGATGGGCAGGTGCAAGCAGAGACTTCGCGAGTCCCTCAGCCGTCACGTTGAGGCAAAGCCGTTTTGAGGTCTTGGGAACTTGGCAGGACCTCTTGGGATCCGGAGTGGCCTGCAGTTTGGTCCTTTAGGCCAGAATGTCCCAACCTTTCCGGCTTTGCGGACCAATGAAGGGGGGAGAGGGGATGGTTCCGGGCGAGCGGCGTGCATGTGTGCCTGCCACTCGCACAAATGGAGCACGCGTGCATGCACTTGCCTGCTGCTTGCGCAAAGGGAGATGCCCACGCGAGCTTGCTTGCCATGTCAGGCAGCCTGGTTTTAAACAGCTCACAGCCTGGTGGTGGGCCCTGGGTCGTGGGCACCTGCCAAGATCGTTCGGAGATTTGCCCACACGAGAACATTCTGCCTCCTGGTCCTGTCACTTCCAGCCACCCTCCAGAGGGTCAGTAGGAATGGCCAGAGGATGATCTCAACTTTATCTCCACTGCAGGAGATGGTGCGTCCTGTGAGCAGGAGGAGCTTAGTAGCTTTGACGTGCCTCTGCCTTGGTGGTCCATGGAAACACGGAAGTCCCTCAGATAGGAACAGAGGCACCTGATGTCACCCCTTTCCTCCTCAGCTGTCCTCTGCTTCCTCTTTGGGATCTATTTCACGGGATCCGCTTTCGGTTCTGCTGCCTCTCGTGTTCTGTCATGGCCAACTCCATCTTGGGTGCCCTCCGGAGACGTGGACTTCGGTTCCCAGAATGCTCAGCACAGACACGGAAGAGGAGTCTCTGCGAGGCAGCCACGCTGGAGGCGGCCATTTCCTTGCAGATGTGTGGTTTGTGCAATAGAAGAGGCGTGTGTGTGTGTGTGTGTGGAGGCCTGGTCTGCTTGGGAAGAGGAGGGGCAGAAGAGCAGGCTGCTCCCCTGCAGGTTTGAGACCTTGGGAGGCCGGCGGATCAGAGAAGCCTGTGGGGACAGCCAAGCTTCCCCAGTGGGTGCCCCTCGGGTTGGGTTGCACTACAGTTCCCATCACCTATCCCTATCCCCATAGAGGGGCCTGGTTTTTGGCCATCAAAGCTCTTCGCCCTTTGCCCTTGTGCCAAAGAGACCTGCTCCTTCACCGCTTTGTATCAAGCTTTTCCGTGTTTGTGTTTGTGTGTGTCTCCAACTACTGGCTCTCTTTGCAGGACCTCTTGTGTGCCGCTCTTGCGTTCCTTTGCATTCTGGCCCTGCCTTTGGGGGGAATCCTGCCAGGAACTTCAAGCCCCCCTCTGCCGCCCTCCTTCCCAGCAGCCCTCCCCTCCTTTGCCATTCTCAGATGCACTTTAGGATGTTTCTCTACTTTGGTACTGAAAGCCCCTCCCTCCGCCCTGGATCTTCCTGGGTTTCTCTCTAGAATTCCACTCCGAGACTGGTGGAGGGAAATCTCATTGTTCTTTTTGCTTCCCTGGGCAGCTTCTTCCACACGGCCTGAAGCTGAGGAAGCCCCTCCTCTCCAGAGTGCCTTACGCTCCCGATGTGACCCTGGAGGGGCTGAGCCTGCCCTCTGCCCCATCTCGGCCAGTTTAGGGCCTAGAGCAGGGGTAGGCAACCGTGGCTCTTTTATGACTCGTGGACTTCAACTCCCAGAATTCCTGAGTCAGCAGAGCTGACTCAGGAATTCTGGGAGTTGAAGTCCACGAGTCATAAAAAGAGCCACGGTTGCCTACCCCTGGCCTAGAGCCTTGGCCGCAGAAGGACACCCTGGCTGGGACACAGAAAACCCTCCTGGCTTTGCTGGGGAAATCTGCTTGTCTGGAAAAACCCCCCCCCCAGCTCTTCTTTAGNTGAAGTGAACGACAGTTTTCCTTGGTCTTTGGATTTTTGTTGTGTAAACGCCAGGGTCCCTCTTTCTGCAGGAGATGAGCGTCGGCTATGCCAACGGCATCCGTGTCATGAGTATGACGCACACGGGGGAGCCAGGCTTCATGCTCTACATCCCCATCGAGGTGAGTGGGGCTCGTAGTTCGAAGGTCAGTCTCTACTCTGTTGGGGGGGCTTGTGCCTAAGGGCCTAATCCCCAGAGGGCACGATGTAATCCACATTTTTTGTTTAAGAGGGATGCTGTCAGCCTTTGGTTTCCAGACTGCCCCTGACCAGGGTTATTTAAATGCCCCCTCCTCTCCTCCCCCCCCCTTGCAGTATGCCCTCCATGTGTACAACGAGGTGATGAGCGTGGGGCAGAAGTACGGGATCCGGAACGCTGGCTATTACGCCCTCCGCAGCTTGCGCATTGAGAAGTTTTTTGCCTTCTGGGGCCAAGATCTGGATGCTTTCACCAGCCCTATGGAATGTGGGCGAGAATTCCGGGTGAAGCTGGACAAGGTGAGGGGTGGTCCCCGAATGGTAGGCTTGGCGGGAGTGGTGGGACTTTCTAGCCCTGGGGCTGCCTGCCTTCTGCCTTTCAGGATTGCCACAGGGCACCAACAGGCTCCGAGTTAGACATGTGGATTTGGAGTGGGCCACGCACAAAGGCCAGGGGTCCTCAACACGCCATTTATGCTCCCCAAAATTGGGGAAAACTTTAAGGACATGTATCCCTTTTAGTCAGGGTCTCCCAATTTTGGGAATTGAGGTCCACAAGGTTGGATCCCTTTGCTTTAATCCCCAAACCCCAAAGTGATTTTTCATGGCAGGAGCATTTAAGGTGTTAATCATCAAGAATCCGGGGATTGGAACAGACCCAACATTTCAGCCCAGCTGTTCCGGTGATGTAGCCAACTTCTGCATTACAACCACAGATGCCCTGGGTGGCCTGGGGAAGGTTCTGTCATTCCCCCTACGCCCTCCCTACCCCTGAACACAGTATTAACTTGCTTCGTAGCTCTTGTGAGAAATACGAAGTAAGCTTCGTATCAAGTATGGGTCAACCGTCCCACTCAGCCATCTAGCAAAGAAAGACTCCTGGCCATTTGTTTTTGCCAGGAGTACACTTGACTGAAACTTAAATGGTTACAGAAGTAGAGTAAACTGAATCTGAGGTTTTCCCCGCACAAATAATACAAAATAAAGTTTCCTCTCCCTCCCTCCCCCAGCCAATTCCCAGCTCTGCATTTCAATAGTTGACCTTGGCTGGCTGAAGTTTCTCACAAGGCTCAGCTGGGCTTCCATCCCTGCCCTTCTTCCTCCCTATATTTCAGTCTTTCCCTCCCCCCTCCCTCCCCCGTCACTAATGTCAGGCTGTCAGCTCATGAAGCTTGGATAGGAGAGATGCAGCCATGACAGTATCCTTCTAAGAAGTACGAACATCCCATCACCATCACAATGTGGTCCTTGGGTTGCTTGCCAGTGGTTCTTTCCCAGCAGTAAGTAGAAGAAAGAGCCGAAGTGGATGGAATCCCGTCTCCTGACGTGTCTCTCTCGGCAGGGCATGGATTTCATCGGGAGGGACGCGCTGATGGCTCAGAAGCAGGAAGGGGTCTACAAGCGCTTCACCATGTTCATCCTGGAAGACCATAACACGGACCTGGACTTGTGGCCCTGGTGGGGGGAGCCCATCTATCGCAACGGCTGCTACATGGGCAAGACCACCAGCAGCGCTTACAGTTACACGCTGGAGCGGCACGTTTGCCTGGGCTTCGTTCACAACCTGGACCCCGAGACCGGCAAGGAGCAGCTGGTCACCCCAGACTTTGTCAACCGGGGCGAATACGAGATCGACATTGCGGGGCAGCGCTTCCAAGCCAAGGCCAAGCTCTACCCCTTCAGCTCCCTGTTCACCTCCCGCCGGCGCAAGGACGAGATGGAGTTCAGCGGCTTCCAGGGAAAATAATCCCACGAAGCGCCAGACTTTTCCCACATTGCTCTTTGGACTTTTCTGGTCTGTTAGGTTTTGTATATTTTGACCCTTCCTTCCTTCCTTCCTTTCCCAAAGTGATCCTGCAGCTCCCAATCTAAAGGGGTATTTATGATGGGCAGGTGCAAGCAGAGACTTCGCGAGTCCCTCAGCCGTCACGGAGAGTTTTGAGGTCTTGGGAACTTGGCAGGACCTCTTGGGATCCAGAGTGGCCTGCAGTTTGGTCCTTTAGGCCAGAATGTCCCAACCTTTCCGGCTTTGCGGACCAATGAAGGGGGGAGAGGGGATGGTTCCGGGCGAGCGGCGTGCATGTGTGCCTGCCACTCGCGCAAACGGAGCACGCGTGCATGCGCTTGCCTGCTGCTTGCGCAAAGGGAGATGCCCACGCGAGCTTGCTTGCCATGTCAGGCAGCCTGGTTTTAAACAGCTCACAGCCTGGTGGTGGGCCCTGGGTCGTGGGCACCTGCCAAGATCGTTCAGAGATTTGCCCACACGAGAACATTCTGCCTCCTGGTCCTGTCACTTCCAGCCACCCTCCAGAGGGTCAGTAGAAATGGCAAGAGGATGATCTCATCTTTATCTCCACTGCAGGAGATGGTGCGTCCTGTGAGCAGGAGGAGCTTAGTAGCTTTGACGTGCCTCTGCCTCGGTCCATGGAAACACGGAAGTCCCTCAGATAGGAACAGAGGCACCTGATGTCACCCCTTTCCTCCTCAGCTGTCCTCTGCTTCCTCTTTGGGATCTATTTCACGGGATCCGCTTTCGGTTCTGCTGCCTCTCGTGTTCTGTCATGGCCAACTCCATCTTGGGTGCCCTCCGGAGACGTGGACTTCGGTTCCCAGAATGCTCAGCACAGACACGGAAGAGGAGTCTCTGCGAGGCAGCCACGCTGGAGGTGGCCATTTCCTTGCAGATGTGTGGTTTGTGCAATAGAAGAGGTGTGTGTGTGTGTGTGTGTGGAGGCCTGGTCTGCTTGGGAAGAGGAGGGGCAGAAGAGCTGGCTGCTCCCCTGCAGGTTTGAGACCTTGGAGGCCGGAGGATCAGAGAAGCCTGTGGGGACAGCCAAGCTTCTCCAGTGGGTGCCCCTCGGGTTGGGTTGCACTACAGTTCCCATCACCTATCCCTATCCCCATAGAGGGGCCTGGTTTTTGGCCATCAAAGCTCTTCGCCCTTTGCCCTTGTGCCAAAGAGACCTGCTCCTTCACCGCTTTGTATCAAGCTTTTCCGTGTTTGTGTTTGTGTGTGTGTCTGTCTGTCTGTCTGTCTCCAACTACTGGCTCTCTTTGCAGGACCTCTTGTGTGCCGCTCTTGCGTTCCTTTGCATTCTGGCCCTGCCTTTGGGGGGAATCCTGCCAGGAACTTCAAGCCCCCCTCTGCCGCCCTCCTTCCCAGCAGCCCTCCCCTCCTTTGCCATTCTCAGATGCACTTTAGGATGTTTCTCTACTTTGGTACTGAAAGCCCCCCCCCCCCGCCCTGGATCTTCCTGGGTTTCTCTCTAGAATTCCACTCCGAGACTGGTGGAGGGAAATCTCATTGTTCTTTTTGCTTCCCTGGGCAGCTTCTTCCACACGGCCTGAAGCTGAGGAAGCCCCTCCTCTCCAGAGTGCCTTACGCTCCCGATGTGACCCTGGAGGGGCTGAGCCTGCCCTCTGCCCTCTGCCCCGTCTCGGCCAGTTTAGGGCCTAGAGCAGGGGTAGGCAACCGTGGCTCTTTTATGACTCGTGGATTTCAACTCCCAGAATTCCTGAGCCAGCCTGGCTCAGCTTGGAAACCTCTCCCTTTCCCCCTCAGCGTGGCTGGCTCAGGAATTCTGGGAGTTGAAGTCCACGAGTCATAAAAGAGCCACGGTTGCCTACCCCTGGCCTAGAGCCTTGGCCGCAGAAGGACACCCTGGCTGGGACACAGAAAACCCTCCTGGCTTTGCTGGGGAAATCTGCTTGTCTGGAAAACCCCCCCCCCC